TCTAGGCGGTAGAAGGCCTCCTCTTCTCTTGCAACAAGCCTGTGAGACTCTGGCTGCAGTCGGCGTGTGTGAGGCTTCCGTCTTTTGGGTTCGGTTTGAGCATGGAGGTGTCCTTCGAAAGAAGGAGCGGGCCGCCAGGAAGAGTATAGAGGCTTGAAGTGAACGATTTCATTCCTTAGGGTTTCGTAATCTAGTACTTTGTACTATGATGCTATATTACGCCCTGCAAAACTTAGGCTAGTAACACTAAGTAGTAAGGCTTCTATGTTGGCCTCATCCAGGATCTTGGCGGGGTTCGTAGGCAAGATAGTCAATCATCTTGGGCTGGCAGATAGCGCATACGTGCTGATTGGCCTTGACATCAGCCACCACTTCAAAAGTGTCGACGACAGACAGGATCAGACAGGCATTCCAGCTCATATTCTTCCGATTCCCAATGTCCTGCTGCAGTTTTTGTTATCCGAAGCAGCACTGGAAACTGAGGAGTTTCAAGAACAGCACCTTCACGCATCTTGTCCGCAGAAGTGCGTGACAGAATTGTTTGTGGGTCCTGTTGTCCTTGGACCGCAGTCTGGTTTCAGCTAAGTGGCGATCACTTTCAATTAAAGCAAAAAGTGGAGTGAGGACATGGTGACAATGCTGTATGTTCTGTGGATATAAGACTAGGCGCAAAGTTGCAATAGCAAGAACAAGTAGGAAGTCCACAATTGTGTAGATTACTTTTCCCGGTCCTGTGCCATCTGGGTAGCCGGAGGTGGAGAGAGAGAGGCCCCTGAGCAAACTGCGGCGGGCACGAGTAGATGGTGCAGAGGGTGCAACCTAAGTCCAGGCTGTACGGAGGTTAAGCGTTTAGATAGGGTTTAGAATCTTAGATCGTCGGATTGAGAGTTCCGGCTCTGCAACCTAGCATTCCGAATTTCTTGGGTTCAGAGTTGAAGAAATCCTCAAGGCAAACCCACAAATCCAGACCTTTATGACCCCAAACCCTCCGCCCCTGATAGCCTACCCCCTTGTCGAAACCCTTACAGCAACCCCACCCTCCCTGCAGCCCTAAACCCGAAGCCTTGAGCCTTCGAGGTCAGCGCGAACCTCGTGGCTCAGACCTGAGACAAGGAAAAGCCTTCCAGGTGTTCCGAAGTGGACGTTTTCTGGTAGTAGTATCAGTAGCAGTAGCAGTAGTAGTAGTAGTAGTAGTAGTAGTAGTAGTAGCAGTAGTCTGATCGAGCAGTACTGGCTTGTTATCATGAGAGGCTTGTTAGTTAGTTTTACTAGGCAATGTTGTTGTGGCTATAGTATGCTACTGTTGTGATGATGCTTATGATTATTAGCAGTATCATCGGGGATGCCTTGTCTGTTGTGACTTACCTCACTTGTTAAAGAGCTTTACTTATTAAAGCTTGATTCCTTTGTGTCATCGGTAGGAAGCGCATCCTAAACCCTAAACATCCCTAAACCCTAAACCCAAAACCCTAAACCCTAAAGCCTTCTTGGGGCATCGGAGGCTCCAAGTGGAAGCTTCGACTTGCGGGTTTTCAAAGAGGGGCCCCGACAGGCCGCAGCCTTTCGGCCCATTTTACATCCCACTCACGTCCTCCAGAAATGAACCTTGGGCCGGGCTTGAGCATCCTTTTTGAGCTTTACTGAAGTTTAGGATTTAGGGTTTAGGGGTTTAGGGTTTACTATAGTACAGTGTACTAGGTAGGGCTTTGGGAGATTCTATATTTTGCTCTTATTGGGCTTAAGAGGAGCTTACCTACTAATATTTTTCAAAGGCTTCAGAAGCCTCTCCTAGTTCTGAGCTTTACTAGAGTACAGTATAGTATATCATCACATCGTACAGTGTGGTATCGTATCCGATGGTCGGTGTAGTAAAGCGATTATCGTATAGTACTGTATCGTATCGTATAGCATCGTATGCTATCGTATAATAGTATCGTATAGGATCGTATAGTACAGTGTAGCGCAGTATAGTCAAAACTCGAAAGAGCCTTTTCCATTCGATCCTTGAAAAGCGCTTTAACCGAACCCTAAGCCCTAAACCGGGCCTGGAAGCGCAGCCGAGGAACTAGCCTTCGGGGCACGCCTCTGAGCAGTTCCTCGTCTGCAGCCGGGTTTAGGGTTTGGAACTTGGGTTTAGGATCTAGGATTTAATTCAGGACTCAGGGTTTGGGACTTCGGGGTGAGGATCTAGGATGTAGGAGTTAAACGTGGGGTTTAGGACTTTAGGGTTTAGGACTGAGGGTTTAGAGTTAGCAGCCTCGGCGGCTTTGCAACTTTGAATCCTAAACTGACCAAAAAACAGAAGACTGAATGACTAGACTAGAGTCTTGCGGTTTGTATACTCTGGTTTCTATATCTGTATTCGAACACCTGCAGAACTCCTTACTGGCCACTCAGACCCCACATATCAAGCCCTGAACCGTACGCCTTCCTTTGACGAAGCTAGGCGACTGATGCAGCTCAGGCACCACCATGATCGGTGACTGCAGCTTTGCCGGCACAGTTGGGGTTAGTTCCAACCTAACCCTAAACTCTAAACCGGTCCCTTCGGGTTTAGCGTGTAGATTGCAGTCACTGTCCTCAAGTGATCCAGCACTCGGCCCTACTATGCCTACGCTCGTCCCTTCTGGTATCTGTCAGTGTACAGGGATTTACCTAACGTAAAGTTTGTCAAAGTATTCAGTCTGCCTTCTGCAAGCTCGGTGACTTGAGTTCACCAGCTATGCCACGGTTTCAGAGTTGCACATCGTAAAGCAACATTTTCTTTCGAGACATGCCTCAACCATACTTCTTGAAATGTTTCTCGCGATGGCAAGAGAAGCTCAGGTGAAGATGGACATGTGCCCCTCGCCAGCGGGCACTACGGAAAGCAACTCGTGCAGGCCTGCCCATAGCAGACCCTGCACAGCCCTGCAACACAAGTGCCAAAGCTTTGATCAAGATGTGTTGTTAGACGAACCTCATTACAAACTGCTGCTGCTGCTGCTGCTGCTACTACTACTACTACTACTACTACTACTACATCACTACTGCTCCATGGCCTTTCCTGTTGCTTTGGAAAGCCATCCCAGCCTTTCTTTGTCGAAACAGCTGCCGTGCCAGGCATATCAAGCCTGCCAGGACGGGCCTGCGTAGTTCGCTTAATGTGGCGTGGTCTGCTGTGAGTTGCTAATATAGGGGCCTTATAACAATTACCTATACTATTTTGGGGGTTCCTCATTATAATTATAGTATAATATCCACCCAAACCCTATTCTAATTATGAAGGCCCCTGTATTAGACGCTGGTTGAGTTTTGGGGACAGCAAGAAAAAGGGCATCGCACCAGCTTTGGATTTGGTTGCCGGCGACTGCATGCCAAATCCCACTTCTAAAACTCTCCATGTAGGGGCCTTAGTAATGAGAATCCGGTTTTGGGGGCTCCTTATCGTAATTATAGTAACAACATACCCCAAACCCTCATCTAATCATTACACTCGAAACCTGGGACCGGCAGCGCTCACGAACTTTCCAAGAAGTTCCCTCTGTGAGGCCCTGGACCAGCTATCCTCGATCTCGAGAACCGCATTCTCAAACCTCGGGGGTTCCTCATTATACTCATCGTATAATATACACCCAAACCCTATCCTAATTATGAAGGCCACTGTATTAGACGCTGGTTGAGTTTTGAGGGCCTAAAGATTTACGAAGCTCGATGTCCTGAGGTTCTCAACTTCCCTAAAGAGCAGAAGAAGGCCGCTCAAGGCCTCAACTTGCAGCCGCTTCTCAAGGAACTTAAACCTAAAACCCTGGACCTGCAAGCCCGACAAAACCACATAGAACCCCTCGTGAGCCGCCGCTAAAGAACACCTAAACAGACCCCCCCTTAGTGTGAAGATCTGAGGACTTAGTATGTACTCGTTTCCCTTAAAAGTGCTTGTAGAACGATACAACAAGCATATGGTGCGCGCATGGCTTTAAAGAGACATATCCCCACACCCTATTCTTACTTGCCAAGCCTGAAACCCGAAGCCAACCCCGCTTAAATTACTGAGCCGGGAGGATGGTGGAGCGCTGCCTTCCAAGCAACCCGCGAATCAGCAGCGATGGGCAGAAGTTACGTTTTTCCAGCGGCTTATCTGGAAATTAGGGTTGCTGTCGGGGGTTTGGGCTTTGCGTGTAGGGTGACCGAGGATTTAGAGGTTCAGTGTTTTTGGGGTATGGGGTTTCGGCTTAGGGGTTACTTTGCTTTTCGGGCTTTGGGTGTAGCTATCTGCGATGTATGGCTTTAGGGCTTTGGGTGTAGGCATAGGGACCATTAGGGGGGTAAGGGGAGTGGGGACTATACTTCCTTAAATAGGCCTTATTAGCTCCTCGTTGTGGGCCCCCTACACCCCGGGTCCCCCCGTGATGTAGGGTTATCTGGAAAGTTTCTGGCCTGTGCGTTTAGGCCTAAGGCAGGGTGCAGTCTCAAGTCTCTAAACTCTAAACTCTAGACTCTAAGCTCCCATTAAGGTTCATAAGGGTCCCTTTAAGGGTTCTATAAGGGTTCTATAAGGGTTCTATAAGGGTTCTAATAAGGGTTTAGCAAGGGTACTATGAGGATACTGGTTCAGGGTTGGGCGTACCAGAATGATGAAACGAGGCCCTTGGCCAAGTCTACGGGCACTTGACATGAGGGTGCCACCAAGGGAAGGGATGAACGAAGAGCAACATCTCCCGGTGGCCCCCGCGTATTTGCGTCTCTGTTATATGAGGCGCACGGCAGCAGCTGTACAGGTAGGGTTTTGGGGACGCACCTAATGCACTGACTGTGAGATAGCACAGAGGAGAAGAAACGGCCAGACTGGACGAATCTTTTCGTTCTTTCGGGTGAGTAGGCTCATGTTCGGCAAGGTGCGTCCTTCCTCAACACCCTGTGTTCAGCAACATGGCCCTGAAAATCACACACACACACAAACCCCTGAGAAATGAACACCACATAAGCCACGAGCATCTGCCAAACCGAGGTTCGCATACTCGATGGTCAATACAGGAATGGGCTTGTGCATACTGCCACAAGAAGCAGATCGCCTCAACGAAGGAGCTGGCAGCTTATGGGCGCGCGACTGAGACAAGAGGCATGTCGCAGCTTTAAGAAGCAGCCTCCTTTGCTTCCAAGATAAGGTGGGCATCTATCTGGGTGTTCCTCGGCTGGCAGTGTGAGGATGTGGCCAACGCTCTCTTCCCTTCAGTTTACATTCCAAGTCCCCCACTCAGATTTCGCGCAGGTCTGTGGCGCTGCGCAGCTGGTGTGCCCACTTGTGCGGACCCCCGGTTTGTGTTTTGAAGGGCCAACCTGGCCGGTTTCCACTTCACCTGCAGGCCTATGCTGATCATAAAAGAAGAAGTTTTACGGCTTTACTGGTTGTGCCCGCTCTACCTTCTCAGCGATTTGTACCGGAGGCCGGCAAGCTATCCGACAGACATGCGAGTAGCTTTGGGCGGCGCCGTGCTTTGGCTGCAGCTTTCATCACCCGTCCCCGGACATAGTTGAGGCAGAAGGTTTAGAAGTTGGGCTTCAGTGGCGATATGTGCTCATGGAACTCTTAAGGCAAAAGACCTTCAACGACGGTTCAACATGTTTTTGCGGTTAGTTTCCATGCGCAAAAAATCTGGTGCAAAGCACCCGAGCACCAGATCTCAAACAGTACCTGTGCTGTGGAATTATCATCCGGGCAAGTCCGAGAAGACCGAAGCAATTCAGTCCGCCACCCTCAGAATCAGAAACGGCTTGGTTTTTTGGCAAGGCCCTTTCATCGTCGCCGGCAGTATCTTGTCCATCATCGGGCTGGTCTTCCTGAGATGCTCGGATTGAAGAATCTCGCAAGTATCGTTGTGTCTGACTTCCTGCACTCCGTACATGTCCAGGCAAGCATTATTATAGTATTGTAGCATCATAGTATTTTATTGTTATAGTATTATAGTATTTTACTATTTTAGTATTTTAGTATTATAGTACTAGTATATGAATGACCTCCAAGGACAGGCCAGTATCTCCGGCTGGCCTCTCACATACCTTGTCGCCTCTCGGCTTCAAGGCGTCTCAGTTTTCGCGTGGTCACAGTATAAGGAGAAGCCATGCCACCCCGGCTGGCGATACCGCCATCGAGTAGTTCGAAGGGGAACAGGAAAGAGTCAGAGCAAAGAAGTCCAACAGCCTTCAAGAATGGCAGATGACAACTACTACACGAGAAAAACGCGAAGGCAACACACACACACACAGCCGAGCCAAGGCCAAGAGCAAGACCAACAAGATAAAACAATATGGGGAGCACCGTCGAAACACCCACTCCTTCTCCCTTAACCACCAACACCAACAACACAAACTGAATCACCACCATCACCCCGCCACCACCACCACCACCAGCAGCACAGCAGCGTCATTGATGACAGCATCAGCGACAAGAGCAGCAACGATTTCGACAACGACGAAGGTCACAACGACGACGACGCCGACGAGAAGTTTTGCGACCATCCTGCGCGAGGATGAGAAGCGGAGGGCAAGACGACGCCGCGCATGACGACAGCAAAGCCGACAACTATGGTGCCAGCAGCAAGCGCCGCAGCAGCAAGATCATCACCATCACCGCCAGCAACTGCCAGCAACACCATCACCACGGCCATCAACATCAAAACAGTCGACAATATCAGCAGCATCACACGTTTCACCACCATCACCACCATCACAAGCATCACCACAATCATCACCATCACTGCCATCACCACCACCACCATGACCACAATCACTACCATCATTGCCATGATGCCGAACCCTACTGTCTTTCGCAACAACAGCAACAAGAAGGACACGACGACATGTCATCGTCAAAAGTAAGCCGGTGACAGGCACTCTGGTGGCCATGTTGGGCGGCACGGCAGAAGCAGCAGCAGAAGTCATGTTACATTGATGAACAATGAAGCAACGGTAATAACAGGTCACCATTAACAGAAGGAATCTTGTACTCAGCCACATGGTAGCGAGCATCACAAGAATGACTCCATTAAAGAAGCAGTATGTGCAGCTATAACGGAGCTCGTCCGAGTGATCACTTGTAGCAGCCGCAGCAAGACAAACTAGTAGCGAATAGACAGAAAAGGCCTCCCGTACCGAGACCAACGACACTGAACTAGGTGTAATCGGGGATCCCTGGAAAGCACAAGCTGGTGTAAAAGCATCGCAAGGTTCTCCAGTCTTACCGAACATGGCGACAAACAACAACCGCGAGCAGCTACAAGGAAGCAGCAGAGCAAGCTGGAAACAGGGATACCAACGATGTTCAGGAACAACTAGTAGAAGGACCGCCGCAAACTTGAAACTCACACACAGGATCCCTTAATCACTTTTTTGATGCTCCACTCCAGGCACTGCTTGTGGCCCAGGTGTCCTTGCCCCTCGGATGCTGAAGTGACTTGCACTGTTTGTAAACGAGGTGGTACAGCACCCAGAAGCATCCCTTAGACCATAGGAAAAGGGTAAGGGGCTATTGGGGGACTTAGCACCTCATCATCCCCGGACAGACATCCTTCGAGAGCCCTTTTTCCACCAAGCAGAACCCCATAAACCAATAAACACACCCTACCAGAGCTTGACACACTTTCATACAGAACCACTCCCCAGCCCCGCCTACAACACTCCAAAGCACCAAACCCTAAAGTCCACACGCCTAAACCCTAAACCGTACGGCCCCCACTCAGTAAGAGTCGGGTAATATTCATAATATAGATCTGTTAGGACCTTCATAGTAGCCCTGTTATAGATTGATACTGTATGGGGGGGCAGTACCCAAGCTAAACCCACCACAAAGCCCGATCTTCAGGAACCTCGCCTTCTCAGCGCACAACGGCCTGCCAGCAGACCTGTACTGCGAGAAGGGAGGGAGCCCCAAGGACGGTTCCTTTCGGGGATCCTTTTAGGGATCCTTGTACTTGTTTGTCAGTATCGTGTGTGTGCGCGCGCATGTGTGTCTGTCTGCCTGTCTGTCTGTCTGTCTGTTTTTGTGTACTTACACTGGGGGATTCCAGGGACACTTGCTGCACTGATCTCCTTGCTTTCTTCAGTACTGGCCCTGTTCTTCTTCCCGCATCTTACTCCAGACGTCAGGATACCAAAGAAAAGGATGCAGCGGGAGTTGTGAGCGCCTTCGTGGCGATGCTCGGGACCCAAGTGTTTGCTTGCATTGGCCATGTTATCTCCCACTGTCATAGGGACCCTTAAAGGGGTAGGGGGCCTTAATACCTGCAATAAGGACTGAATTAAGGAAGTAGAGTCCCCTAGCCCGCTCCCCCAAACCCCCTGAGAGTCCCTATCAGCACAAAAAAAGTATAACAGGCAATAGGGAGGCAGCGGGCCTGAGCAGGGAGCTTGCGGGGTGACTTGTCAAGTCTGCGGAGTTGGGAGCTACGTTTCTGTCCAGAAGCTGACCGTTCCAGCTGTCTGGTTTGTGATGTCGGCGTGGCTTTTTTGGTGCTCTTGTATTGCGAACCATGTTTGTCTGCAGCGTTGGTGATGGCCCACCAGCAAGCCAGATGGTCAGGCAGATGCAAGCTGGCAGCCAGATTGCTTGCGCTGCTGACGGATGTGCTGAATCGGGCCGAAGAGCTTCACGAGCTGCGCAGTTGTCGGTACAGGCTGCCATCAGCCTGTACCATCATCACCCTGCGAGGTGCAGGTGTGCCTGGATCACAAGTGTTCCTTCTGCGAGATAGATCCAAAATCAAGACTCACGATCAAAGCGAGCTTCTGAAGATACCAAAGGGGGCGAAGACAGCATCAATCCGGGAGAAGTCTTCTGAGAAGACTTTCCAAAGGTTGACTCCGGGCTGAATCAGGCAGACGATGGAGATCGACATCGTCGTTGAAGAATGTTGAAGACAGCAATGCTAGGGCTGCCGATCTTTCTGCGAATTCCAGACCCCAGGGATCCCTCGCGCAAGAACAAAAGGGAGATTTCAAAAGGCAACTCCCTAAGCAGCTTCCTGTATCCACTGAGGCACACTTTTCTGGGATCCTTGTCTGCGGTGCTCGTCGTCGCCCTACTTGCGGACTTGCGAATCGCATGGCATAGAGCTACTTAGCTACTTCTGTCCTTCGTCATGGTGGGCTCAGGTCATCATCGCCACCCACGAGCCCCTCCGCTGCACTATCAGCAGCATGGTCGCCAAACCCCCCCCTCCCGAAAAATGGCGAAACACCGAGCCCCAACATTCAGTATTGTCCGATGCTGGCGATGGAACGAAAAGCTTGGACAGCACACCGAGGATGGCCGTGCACGTGCAGCAACTTGGACTCCTTCGAAGATGCTGCATGTAGACGTTTCAGGGGTTGGGCGCGATGACGAGGGCTTCAACAGGATCGCTCTGAACGCACAGGTACACTTGCTTCATGTTCGTTCTGGCAATCACCTGCGCGATCGTTTGCAACTCTGCAGACGAGGACGCGTGGGTGGAGTGGTCCCTGATGTGTACAAATCGTAGTACCCAGCGCCCAATACTCCCAAGCCATACGCCATGATAGCGCGGGGCCCTCGACCCAGCGCAACATCACGGCAAACCCTCATCCCTACACCCTGAACCAGAACCTGAGTTATTCAGGCGCCGCCAGTAGAAGACTTAAGCTCTTCAGGAGGACACCAGCCACCTCGAGAACTCGGATCCGATCACCACGGCCGAGGCATGGAGCTACGTGGTCTTAGCCTGATTATTATGATGACTATGATGGTTACTAAATTATGATTACTACTACATTATGATTAGTATTGTTATTATTGTAAAGTGTGATCTTTATTTAAGAACAAGTGAGTGAGCGAGCGAGCGAGCGAGTTTTTAGCAGGCATAATGTAGGCGGCGGAATAAACATTAATCCCTAATCTCTGAAGCGTCATAGTCCTTATGCGAATCATGAAGGTCCCTACAATATAGTAGGCGTTAGGGATGCGGGTTGAGTCGCTTACAGTGACGTTCGTTCGGCGGTGCTGCGGGTTGATGATTCAGCAGAGGTCTGGTGTTGAAGGTTCAGGCTTAAGGCTTGCTTGTGTCTAATTGGAGTCAAGGGTGGTGTGGTCTATAGTGTGTCGCAACCCTCCAGCAATGCTGTATGCTGTACTGCGCTGTGCTAAACCCTCAACCTCGGCATGACCCTCATCTCCTCATCCATTTGCTGCAGGTTGTTTTCGACGGTTGAGGGCTTACGTTGCATGGCCTTTTTACAGTGCTGTCGCATGTTACTAGGCAGCAGCTTTGGAGACTTTGTAACCTTCCTCGTGCCCCTACCGATGCAACACTTTCAGGGGCCCCCAAGTCACCACAAATGGGGCATTCCGGTCTACCGTTTGAGAGCCGCAGAATCACCAAAAATAAAGCAGGATTGTGTTTGTTTTAAACACAGAATCCCCCAAAAATGCAGGATTGTGTTGTTCCAGGTCTGCGGCAGCTTCATGCTGGATCCACGGGGTGATCAGGCGCGGGGCAGCCTGACTTGCTGTTAAGAATCAAGTTCAGAACAGTTCCGGCAGAAGCGTCCCGCTAAACCTAAAATCCCTAAACCCCAAAACCCCCAGACCCCTGAACCTCTAAACCCTAAACCCCTCAACCCTTAAACCCCTAAACCCCGGACCCCTAACGCCTAAACCCCAAACCCTTAAACCCGAAGCTTCCACTACCTTGGCTTACAGAGAGGTTGCTGTTGCTTAGGATGTACTATGGTAATGTCGTGCGATACAGTACATTATACAATATGATCTCACATAAGATAACAGGCATCATATCATGTCATGACATTTGATGCCGCCCCCCCAAATTCTGCGAGCCTCGCACTGCCGATTTGGTCTCCCCATCAGGACTTTCTTTGGGTTTGCGTTGGCCGACTTTTCTACTACGTGACTTGGCTTCATGTCTTCTTTTAACTTACCTTTGGTTAGTAGGGAATGGAAGAACGGTAGCAATAGTAGTTCCCATTCCTCCATTCCCTACTAACCGAAGGTAAGTTAAAAGTCCTTGCCAGCAAAGATAAGCGCTCGGTGAGTGTAGAGCCGAAGATGTCTCGGATGGGTACAGTGCTGAGGCGGAGACAATGAATGTTTCAATCGGTAAGGGATCCCAGGGTGTCGCTGAGAAAGGCAGCTCCAGGTTTAGGAACCACCACCCAAAAGCTGAGGTTTCTACGTCTGTGACGGTGTTCTTGCATCTCGGCCACACAATTGATTTCTCGAAAACGACCCCTGGAACCCTCAGTAGGCCCTGCTCCTCTCTCGCGGTTTGGGGTTTGAGGAGTGGGGATTAGGGGATATTGCATGTGACAATCCCCAAAGCAAACTGCATGGGCCGGTGGTATGTTTTTCCTCGGCAAGGCTGTCTGAGCAGGCAGACGTCGCTGAATCTCGTGCAACTGAGGTACTACTACATCCGGGATACGTTGCAAATATCGGCAGAGGCCGCTTCATGGTGCAATGGGGAGATGTTGATTGTTATGACAGTGTTCAAGTCTCAAAAATCCACAGACTTTGCTCACACTGTCACATCTCTAAGATATGCTTCGAAGAACAACTGAACCCGTACCTTTTTTTGAGGCAGCCGGTGTAGCTGGGTTTGTGTGCTTTAGCCATTCATGCGTGAGTTGTTCAGCATTGCGGATCTCGTCGACTGTAAGCTGTGCGTTTTATTTAGAGGTGTCGAATGGCACTGAATCCAAGCCCTACCCCTAAACCCCAAACCCACTAGGTCCAAGCTCCTCCGGGCCCTTAGCCCTAACTGGGGGTTTCCGAAAGTAGGGGACCCAAAATAGAACCCTAAATAGTAATAGTAGGATCCTTATTATAAGGACCCCGAAACAAGGTACGCCTAATTTTGGCAAACTCCCAAATTTGCCATGAATTTCAAGCCTGCAAGCCCTGAGATCCCAAACTCGCCGACCCTCACCCAAAACCCCAAAACCCCAGAACCTAGGGCCCCAAGCGCAATCGAAAGTCTTAAACCACCCAAGCTTCGAGCCCTAGAAGCTTGAAGCTCCAAAACCCGAAACCTAGAAACCCTCGGAAGCAAATCCTGAGTCCAAGATCCTAAACACCAAATCCTAAATCCAAAACCCTAAACCCAAGATCCTAAACCGAAAATCCTAAACGAAACCCTAAACCCTTAAGATCATAAGCCCAAAACCCTAAATCCAAAGCCCTAAACCCAAGATCCTAAACCTAAACAAAACCCTAAACCCTTAAGGTCCTAAACCCAAAATCCTAAGCCCAAAACCCTAAACCCACAAACCCCTACACCCAAGAGGGGGAGCTCCGCGTGAAGCTGGCCAGCCTGGTGATCGCCGCGCAGGTGGTGGGCGCCTTGGTCTCGGTGCCCCGGCGCTCAAGAGTCTTACCCAGAGAGCCCAATACCCCTTAATTCAGGTATATAGCTTATATCATAATATGAAGCCCTATATAATTTAACCCATATTCCTTAATTAAGGGGAATTGGGCTAAGAGTCTTAGGGTTTTCCTAGACCCCACAACTACGACCCTGATAATAGGGCTCCTTTAAAAGGTTACCATAAGGGTACTATAAGGGTTCCTTCAAAGGGCTCTATAAGGGTTTAGGAGTTTTCCCAGACCCCCCAACTACCCTTGTGCTTCTCTCCTCAAGAAAGGGAATAAGTACCTATATAGTAGAATGTAGGGCTTCTACATTAGGAATTACTAACATGATTTAGGGAAGTATCCCCTCAAAGGGTTTAGGGTTTAGAGGGTTTAGGGGTTTTAGGGATTTAGGGTTCCCCTACCTGGGAGTTTCCGACAATAGGGGACCCTACTGTAGTACCCTAAATAGTAGGATCCTTATTATAAGGACCCAAAATAAGGTATCCCCTAATTTTCAGAAACGCCCATACCCCAAATACCCACCATGAAGGGCCATCAGGCATTTTCCGTAAGCTATGACACCCGACACATCTGGATTCTGCCAGAGCATGCCAGGTACCTGCCGGAAGATCTTCGAACACTTTTGGCTCCTGGCCAGCAGGTTTGTGTTTGTCACACATTCACCATCACCATCACCAGCACCAGCATCAGCATCAGCATCAGCAGCAGCATCTCCTTCATCTTCAGCACATTCTCATCTTCCTCCTCCTCCTCCTCCTCATTGCAAGAGGCCGCCAGAGACCGGAGTTCGGGTTCCGGCTTTCAGCTTTCGTGGGTGCGGGCTTCTGGGTTTAGACCTAATGTGGGGGCCTTATTGATGAGAATGGGGTTTTTAGGTTCCCGTATTATCATTATAGTATACTATACCCCCAAACCCTGTTTAATTATTAAGACCCTACAGTAGACCCCCAAGAGAGCCCGGCTCAGGAAGGAAGCCCGTGATCTACGCGGCCTGCACCATCATGTCTCTCACCTTCCTGATGTACGTCTGGAAGCCTGGCCCAAACCCTCCAACAACCCTAGAGCTGAGCCGTGAACCTGAGAGGTCCGAAGGCTCTAGGAAAGAAAACAAGGGTTATCCAGAACCCTCATGCGCTAAAGCCTGAGACCGTCAGGCTGTGGAAAGCGTCTCTGACTTTTTGTTTTTCTTTCTACGGGTCTGGTCTGAGGTTCAAGCTTTTCTGAAACCTTCGGAACGTATTTCTTCTTGGCGCGAGGGAGCTGAGCTTTGTTTGGATTTTGCTTTTGGGCAGTTCACTGGGAATGCGAGAGTCGAGTATGTATCAAGTTGCTACCGCGGTGGTCATGTCATGGATCCATTTGATGCCCGACGTTGCCGAGGGTGCCGCTGCTTGCACGCCAGTTGTCTCAAATTAGCCATCCATGTTTTACGCATCATGTTCTTAAGCTTTGCAGACTTGGCAAAATTTGGGATCCTTTTACCCTTTGCGTTTCCTCATGTGCTGAATGAATGTCAGCCCCCAAAGGGATGCTTCTCCCTTCCCACCTGACACGGATCGCGAGACATTGCCAGGCTGTTTCAGCATTCAGTGCCGAAGTTGCTTCCTTCGTCTGTACATGACCCGATACTCGTCTGCTTCTTCCCTGGCTTCAGCTGTGGAACGTATCGCCCCGCCCCGAGCCCAATACCCTTCTGGGAGGTTCATGGGTAGTGGGTTATCAGTCCCCTAGTATGAGTTATAAGTATAGTTACCCTACTTTTAACCCCACTTATAACTGCCCATGAGCGTTATAATTATAGTATAATGGGCCCCAAGACCCTATTCTAGTTATTAAGGCCCCGAAAGTACAGAGCCAAGGCGATGTCCGATGGCACCTCATTCTGGCTGCCGGCCTCTGCTATGGCCTTGGTACGGCACCAAGAGCTTTCGAAGATGTCGGGGTCTCCTTGAGGAATCCACAAAAAGGGGTACTAATAAGTTACTAGTAACGGTTTTTAGGGTTTCTTTGAGGAAGCTGCAAAAAGCTTACTAAAGGGTACGAATGAAGGTTGTAGGGTTTGGGGTTTAGGGGTCAGGGTTGAGGGCTTCCTGGTCCCCATGATTCACACGACAAGGCATTTGTAGTGATCTGTTGGCCCAGGCAGTGGCGTGTACGTCAGCGTCGACTATGCCGCAGACTCAGACCTGCTTTGGACACCGAATGCGCCATGTGTTCCTGGCTGGTTCTCAAGATCCGGCGCCCTGAAGACATCGACTCCAGCAGCCACCTCTCCCTATCCTTAAACCATCTAAACCCGAAGCTTTTTTGGACCTCAGGCCCTTGCCTTGGATTGCCTGCCGGAGGGGAAGTCGACTGCAGAGGCCTTCGGCCTCTGGGGCATCTCAGGCCGGTGGAGGGACGTAGGAGCCTGACAGATGAGGGCCCCCTTCTTGCAATTCTACGATATACTTTAACATTTACGTACGGCGTGTACCCTCAAAGCCTGTTCTGGTTGTTAAGGCCCAGATCTTGGATTTCTACTGCATGGGTCTGCAAGATGCTTTGAGATGCTTCGGACCCACCGAGGGTGCATGTCATGCGACACTGGGCTCTTGTTAAGGGAATCAGTTTAAGTGACCATCCTGAAGAGCCGTACTATATCCCTGTTTTGTTATGGTATCTTAGATTTAAAATGATTTAAACCATATTTCGTAGTATAGATCCCTATTATGATCGTTTAAGGTTAGTTAAATCCCTGAACAAGAGCCCAAGAAGTATAGATTCCTATTATCATCACTTAAGGTTCGTAAAATTCCTTAAAAAAAAGAGCCCAAGACAGTGTCACTGCTTCGAGAAGAGGGCTCCAGGTCGAAGGCCCAAGTTGTGCGTCGCCTCAACCCATCCAATGCGCTTGGCATCCTTTTTGGATTAACATAGGGGCCTTTATAACTATAACTATATATATATATATATATGGTCACCCCCGCCCCCGTTGACAGACCATGCCCTTTCAACTCAGTCGTAGCGCATGGTCTGTGATCGGGGGGAGGGGCACTCAGATTTCAAAAATTCAATTCCAGATTTTCCAAAATTCTCTCCCCTAGCTTTACGGATTTCCAAAATTTCCGAAATTTCCGAAATTTCCAAGATTTCCAAAATTTCCGAAATTTCCAAAATTTCCAAAAAGTCCGCCCTTATATGTTTTGGAAAAATCCTGTCGACTAGGTCGGGCAATTTTGGAAATTTTGGAAATTTGGAAATTTGGAAATTTTGGAAATTTTGGAAATTTCGGAAATTTCAGAAATTTCAGAAATTTCGGAAACTTCGGAAATTTTGGAAATTTTGGAATTGATTTTCAATGGGCTGATTGTGACCTATCGGATGACAGACCATGCACTACGACTCACTTGCAAAGGCAAGGTCTGTTTAGACGATTGTCAGTGTTTATATATATATATATGTATTTTTTTTTTAAATGGTACTCCTACGAATATTATTACCAATACTAATACTGACTTTGATCATTTGCTGACTGCCCAAGCTAATACCAGCATTAACGCTAATATTTACACTTTTTTAAGCCAATACGAACAGGCACCATACAAATACGAATAATGATTAATACTGACGTTCATACTCCTACGCATATCAATAATTATGCCCATATTGGTAGTAGTGTATTTTCATACCAATACTAATACACACCTGCATATACCAATGTACATAAATATACATACCACTATATTAGAGTACAAATGCATTAGCTCATGCATGTATTTATCTGTTAGTATTTTCATGTAATCAGGAGTAACACTAATATAAGACAAACGTTCATGCGAATACATAACCTCATTTTAATATTAGCACTAGCACTAGCACTATTACCAATACCAATCACACTGTTTATGCTAACACCAAGATTTACATAAGTATTGATACTCCTACGGATACTACTGCGTATACTCTTATGCTGTTACAGTAACAGTAATGCTGTCACCAATACTAATACTGACATTGATAACTTGTTGAATATTCAAGATAATGCCAGTATTAATACCATTATTAACACTTATACTAAGGCTAATGCGACTACGGATAATCCTAATACGAATATTAACATTAATACTCCTGCGAATACCAATAGTCATATTCATATTGATGTGAAGACTAATACCATTACAAAAGACACGTGTACATGCTAATGCACACCAGAACACATACCATTATCATTTTTGCCGATATGTATCAATGCATTCATGTACTGATGTTTTAGGACAAGCATATACCCATATACCAATGTAACAATACACTACTTGTTAATGTGTGAATATACTATACCAGTATGCTATTATACTAGTATGCTATTATACTAGTATACGACTACTGTAATATGCAAGTATACCGACATGGCAGGTTAGTGTACTAATATGACAGCATACTGATATACTTATTATAAATCATTAGACAATACACGTATATTGCATATACTAGTATACTAGTACACCAATGTACGAATATACTGGTATGTTAATATGCTAATATATTAATACAGCAATCCACTAGTTTACTCATGCATCAGTTAAACTAAAGTATTAAATCTACGAATATGCAAGTATACAAATATGTTTCCTCTCGAACACATCAATGTATTGATATACTAACCTGCTGATATACGAAACTATCAGAATAGTAGCATATCGAAACTAACTTTAATTTTGATACCAATACGAGCACCTCTGCCATTATTAACTGATATTAAACCCAACATGAAGACTGATACTAATACTAGCAGTGGTACTAACTAACATTAATGTATACTTACTACTGTCGATATATACATATATATATACTTACAGTAAACACTAATACTATTGCTGATACTAATACTAATACCAATATTAATACTCATATTCATCCTATATCAATGCTACCACAAAACTCATAACTCACGTGTCGCGCGTCTGGTCCATGCGTCCTCAGTACATGGCATGTTAAAAGTATACTTGGTATATGTACTGTAAAGGATTTGCTTTACAGATTGTCGTCATGTGTGGTGTGTTTAGATACAATATCTCAGCCTAGTCACCGAACGAGAGTACACTATCACAAGGGCATGGTCTGTTAACGGGGGGGGGGTGGGTGAGCATATATATATATATATATATATGTTTTTTTTTTTTTTTTTTTTGTTTGGGGGGGGGGGGCTCCTTCTTATACTCATAGTAGAATGGGCCCCAAACCCTGTTCTAATTATTAAGGCCCCTATATTGCACCTGCTTCATGGACATTCTTTTCTTGCATGTCTCCACACTCTACTCGCTCTTCGCAGTCGAAGTGCTATAGCAGCTTCGTGGGCATAAGGAAGTGCTAGCTCTCATCCATGAAGGGAGTCTATAACATACTCTATTTTAACAAATACATTCGGTTGAATATACGATAATATACTAAGTCACTCGGGTGGCCTGAACCCAGGGTGTGCAGGCTAGTAAGCTGTAACATATCAAGCACGAGAAGCTCGAAAATAGCACAGCTCAGCAATCTCGAAACGGCGTGACGCATCCGACCATCGTGTCCCTACTGCTCGTGGGTGACTCGAGTTTTCAGGGTAGTGCCAATTTTGCAGCTATGTGTGTTTGTGCTTGTGTGAGTGGTGAGTATATGTGACTCCTATCGAAATCTTGCAATGCCAGCAATCCATCTGTGCAAAGTCATGATACAAATCCGTAATGTGAATCTTCACCCTTAGCAATCCAGCCCTGCAGTAGGGCCCTAATCTCAAAGCCAGTGTCTACTGCTACCTGGGAGTTTCCGAAAATCGGGGACCTTAATATCGTACCCTAAATAGCAGGATCCTTATGACAAGGACCCAAAACAGGCACAATGGTCCACAATCATCCCCAGTTCAGAACCTTATAGATCCCTTTAAGGACCCCTTGAAGGCAGCCCTTTAAGGGAACCCCCCACCCCCATCGACTCTCCCTTTGAGTGAGGATTTTTCGGATCCACGGCTGGGCCGGTCATCGGTGGGCTCCTGCTCGCCCGGATCTTGGAGGGTTTAGGGAGTAGGGGTTGAAAGGGCGTGAGGGTTTAGGGGTCAGGGTTTAGGGGCAAGGGTTTAGGGGTTTAGGGGTTTCGGGTGGGGGGATTAGGGTTTGGGGTGAGGGGTTTGGGCTTGAGGGTTTAAAGTTGCTGGTGAAGGGTCTTGGAATGATTGTCGGGGTTCATTAGGATTGAAGGGCTTGGTCAGAGCGTCTGCATTTTGTCGTTGATGGCGCGCCCAACTTAGGCTGTCAACCAGGCCGGTAACTCCGCTGACATGCCCGACGCTCAAGTTTTCGGCAGCTCCCAAATCTGCTGTCCTGCTCTTTCACACTCTGCTGCAGAGGTCGAGCAAGGTTTCACACTACACGTATGGTGGCTATGCGATCGTCATGCTACTGCTGGGAGACGCTGGGCTGCAGTTGAACGCTGCGCTGAGGGGTTTGTTGAGTTGAAGAGGTGGTCTCCCGAGGGCACTGCTATGCACACTTCCTCTCAGGTCTCCATGAACCTCTTCGTCGTCGCCGCCACCTATGCAATCCGTGGCACAAAGTGAAAGTGCGCCACGGTGGGAGTGAGCGAATTCGAAGAGCGCCGATGCAATCCGGAATAGTGGTATCACCCTTCTGTGTCATCGCGTGCTGTCGCTTGGTGCGGAAAAAGACGCCCGGCTTGCAGAGTGCAGGATGAAAGTGTTCGTGGTGTCATGAGCTCGAGGCCCTACCCACTGCTCATTGAAGGTGCCGTCGGGCGCTTGGTCATACCTCTTTAGTACACGTGGGTGGTTGTCAAAATTAAGGTCCTTTCTTGGGTACCCTAAATACTAGGTGCCGTACTATATCAGGGACCAAAAAGGGACCATAATTTTGACAACCACCCCCGACGTGGCTCTTTCTCTGTAAATGGCTGATGCCAAAAAGGGCAGCGCATCGGAACCTCGAGTCCGACAGACGCACTGTAGGGGCCTAGATAATATTTACCTATACTGTTTTGGGGGTTCCTGATTATAACTATAGTACATTGGGCCCCAAAACCCTATTCTAATTATTGAGGCCCCTGTAGTATGTGCCCTCAAAACCTTACGAAAAGCCCCTGAGCCCTCAACCATCTCAGGGCGACTATGGGCATCAGCACCAGTTCAAGTCCACGACGCGCGGGTCCACCGTGTGCATGGCGAGGGGAAAGCCAGCTTCTAAGCTCTGTAATTCTGGGTCCCTGTGAAGTCCTTTGGGAATATAGTATCGCTGGGATGACCATAACAAGGGCAGCTCCATAGATCGGTCCCTCATAAGCTGCTATTTACCATAGACTTCTTTCAGCCCGTCATATGGTGCTACCTCTGGTGCTACCTCTTGTAGATCCTTAGCCGTGGTTCGGCTCCCGGATTGGTCGAGACGTCGGCTGTCGAATCGGAGTAGCAATTGCAGCCGAAAAGCAGGAGGACTTCTTATCATTGTCATTATCATCCTCATCATCATTGTTGTCATGGATCATGCTGCTGCTGCTGCTGCTGCTGCTGCTGCTGCTGCTGCTGCTGCTGCTGCTGCTGATCATGATCATGGTCATGTTATGTTGTTGAGTGTTATCTTATGATATGTTATTCTGTGTCGTAGTACACCATGTGATATCATGTTACACTATGTTATATCATGCTATGCTATGTTATGCTATGCCATATGATGTCGCGTGATGTTATGCTTTCCTTTGCAGTACCTCTTGATGTTGTGTTATGTTGTGATGATGACCATGATGATGACGACTATCTTTGCTATTGTGACAAGTAGAGTCTAGGTAGAGATCATTGACATCAGAGGGGTCTACGGCCGAGTGTTTTGGATAGTGAGTGAGGCATCATCGCCTGGTATGATGGCATAGCAACGCTGAAAGCATTTCGCGCCGGTGCTGCCGAGGCCAGCGTTTCTCTACGAGGTCCTGGACACTGCGTCAATGGCAGGCTGATGCTTTGGAATGTCGGCTAGAGGTGCAGTGAGCGCAGAGTAAGACATGCTTTGCTTGTGCTGGGGCATGCCGGGGCTGGGGCCCCTTAGCCATAAAATACTTCATCCCATGGAGCCAGGCATCATGTCGATCGTGGACTGCATCATCCTCACCATCGCATTTTGCTGCGGCCTCCAATATGCATATTCGCTGGCCACCAGAAGGAGCTCTTCTGCCGGTCGTGGAGGTAATTAGCAAGTGCTCACAGAGCCGGTAGAGGCGCCCCACGCCCCCGCCCCCGCTCCCGCCCCGCCAGCTGCCGCCGCCACCGCCGGCCGCCGCCGCCGCAGCCGCCGCCACCGGCCACCACCACCACCACCACCACCACCACCACCACCACCACCACCACCACCACCACCACCACCACCCACCACCACCCACCACCACCACCACCACCCACCACCACCACCACCACCACCACCACCACCACCACCACCACCACCACCACCACCACCACCACCACCACCACCACCACCCTGCCACTGCCACCGCCACCGCCACCGCCCCGCACCCCCGCCCCCACCCCCGCCCCCCCGCCCCGCCCCCGCCCTTCACCCATCACCCTTCACATAAACATCATCACCATCACCATCACCATCACCATCACCATCACCATCACCATCACCATCACCATCACCATCACCTTCACCATCACCATCACCATCACCATCACCATCACCATCACCATCACCATCACCATCACCATCACCATCACCATCACCATCACCATCACCATCACCACCATCACCACCATCATCATCATCATCATCATCATTCTCATCATCATCGGCATCAGCCTGCATCGTCATCCGCATCACAGTAGTCGCAAAACAAATCGAGCACCAGTCACCGTCACACTGTCGTTCTTATATGTTCTTATCGCAGTTGTGTCCATCCCCGCCAGCATCACTGGCAGCCCCAATAGAGCGACAGAGTTAGCAATGGCATGACAGGGACGTGCAGCTCTTGAGGGAAGTCCTGGGCATCGCTGTTGTGCACTGCGCACGTGGGTTTACGCCGAACCAACGAAGCAGTTTGCATGTGCAGGAGAGGGAAGAAAGGGTTGTGCTCCATGGTTGGGGTGATGTTGCAAACTCAGTGTGATGCTTCCAGCACCGCCAGCTCACTGATGCCGGAGTCTTTGGCCCAGAACTTGTGTCGCACAGGACACCCTATGCCGCACACCGTCAAGCCCGAAACCCTAAACCCCAAAGTCTCGCATCTCGGAGAAGGCTCACAACGAGAATCTCTGCGAACCTCACATGGTATCACTCGGATCTCAGACAGCAGGATAGGACTAGACTATACCTCTAACCCCCAAACTCCCAGACTTCACAGTGGACTGCTGGCCAAGGTTGCTGCCCTGTTTGTCCCGACACACGAACAGGACTGGTGGCTCAGGGTTGAGGAGGTTCACGTCAAGGTGTGGGTGGCGTTTTCGGTAGGGCTCTGGCTGCACGCCTATGGGTCTAAGCTAAGCAGATGGAGAACCTTTTGCCGTGGTAGCTGATCCACGCGACAAAATCGAATCTAGACAGAGAGCAATGCTAGTAGTTGCAGAAATACAGCGAATCTCAGAGAAACACTGGCCCCAACAAGGCACTCCCCGCATCTTGGCCCAACCATGTCTGTATTGTTTCGGCATTTTCGCTCTAGCTTCCTTGCTGATGTATAAAACGATAGTAAAACCAGAATGATCCTGTTCAGTTTGCAGGAAGACAGATGCCCCTTTCTGTTTACATGCGAAGCAAGATGTCGAAGTGACTACATGAGAGTGCACTGGGATCTCATTGAGACGGCGCACCAACCTCAGTCAGTCAACTATGAACATCATAGCAGATTCGAGGAACAGACGCTCGGAATCACACCTCGAACTCCATCCCACCAGATGTTGAAAACCGAACTCCCTCCCAACTCACCATCTTACGCTCCCTTTATCGCTCAGCCCGTCCTGAACCCGAAACTCCCGAATCACAGAACCCACACCCTAAGTTTGAATTCAAGACCCACCGGCAACCCTGCACACAAAGGCCCTGAACCCTAAGTGAACCCACGCACAGGACCCGAAAGTTGATTCATGACCGGGGTGCCTCAGGTGCTTTGCACTTTGGGTTTTGGGGTGCGGGGCTGGGGTTTCGATCCAACCGGCCGCGGTTCACAGTTTCAATGGTGCACGGCGGTTCCGGGAATCTGGAGAGCATTCGTCAAGAGGTGGATAGCCTTCGTTGCCGCCGTGTCGTCTCTTGTCGCCACGGGCTTTGGTCCTGGCTCCATGGCAATCCAGGTGCACGCGATGGAGTCGGGTCGTCGTCGGGGCTTGGGTCATGTTCCTATGAGAGTGTAAGCTGCTGGCCCGATCAGCAAGTGAAATTGCTACAGGGCCCGAAACATGTACTATGGTCGGGGTTCCTTATTATACTAATTCTAATAGAAAGGGCCCAAAACCCATTCTAATGATTGAGGCCCCAACAGTGTGAACGAGAGGTGATTGGCCCAGTCTCGTTTGCAGCAGGCCCATGCCCAAACAAGCTCTCGCAGCAAGCGCAGGAGATAATCAACCCTCAGCATGCTGATGTTTTCCTTGATGGAAGACTAGTTCAAAGCCAGTGCAACCGCTGCATTACCGACCAAGTCTAAGCCTTGAGTCATTTATCGTGCCGCTCGCTCCATAGGCCGAATGCTGTCTTCAGACCACAAAGATCGTGCATAAACTCCAAACCCTGTGATGCAAACACATCTCGCTGCCTGGCGCACTTGGCTTTCGAAGGCTCTGACATCTCCGACTCCTCGGACTCCAGTATCTTGCTCCGCTGGGGCCCTGGGATACCCAGGTGCTGCCTTATTATACTATATGATAGTATATGATAGTATATGATAGTATATTATAATATCTTATAGTATATTATAGTATATTATAGTATATAGTTCCCTAGGCCTTTCGGGATTCGGCCTCAGAGCTTCGTGGTGGTTCGGCACTTTGGGATGGCGCCCGAGGCTCAGGGCCGTCCAGCTATCTAAGGCTTGGGCTCGACGACCTTACACTGGCTCTGCGATTCTTGTCGTCCTTCTGTTTCGCAAGCTCGAGCTTTCCGCGGGAGTCGGATGTGCCAGTTGACACCCTTGCCAGAGATCGCACATGATGATTTTTTGTGCCCGTCCCAGGTTAGTTCAAGAAGGTGCAAGATGTGCTGTCGAAGAAAGCAGATCTGAGCGGTAGGAGGTGGCCGAGACGTGAAGCTATCGCCGGCTCCATGTCGAGGACGCTTGGCAGTATGCTTTGCACGAGCCCTCTTTAGATTCGGGCCGTAGCCAGAGAACGCGGCAAATGACAGAGCGTCCTTCTTACCGTTGCCTCGGAGAGAGACATTCATTGCTTCGCCGATACAAAATTGAAAAAGCTTTCTGCTTTTGCAGCCTTCGTATGTTAATAAACGGAGCGTTTTCGGCTGAAGCTCGATGCCAGCCGCTGCCAACTAACTGAACTGAACGGATCTCTGCTCGAACTACCCGGCTGCTGTTTATGGAAGGGAGAAGTTAACCAGCAGGCTCAGTCAACCTTTTGGCAGATTCCAACGGATCTGCTTCGAAGCACCCGACAGCTGCGTGTCCTGTCCAGGAGCAGTAGCAAAGAGAAGTAGACTGGTACTTATGGTAACGAGAAGACTTGCAGCAACAGGAACAGTAAAGGTAATCAGGGTACCGCCAACCAGTTGTTTTCGAATGTAAGTATACTTCTAGTGATAGCAGTCATCGTCGTCGTCATCTTCAAGTACTTGCGACTTTCAGTAGTCGCGTGGTGGCGGTGGTGGTGCCGGTGGTGGTAGTGGTAGTGGTGGTGGCGGTGGCGGTGCTGGTGTGGTGGTGGCAGCGGTGATGGCGGTGTTTGTTCTTGTTCTTCTTGTTGTGGTCGTCGCCGTCGTCGGTTTCGTCGTTGTTATCGTTTAGGATTACAGGTGATAAGAGTGCGCATAGAAGCAGCAGCAGCAGCTCCAGTTGTCGCCACAAGGCTGATACCGATGTTGATGTTCCAGTATCATTCCGGAAACAGCGACCCGAAGTCCTACGGTTGCAGCCGTTTCGGTCCAGGGGCCTGGCATAGGGGCACGAAGTAGAATCTCAGACGTCGTCCGACAAGGGCACCGCGAGGCACAAGTCTCAACCCTCGTCACAGCCTTCTTCCGCGAAAATCGTAGAATCGTGTCAAAGTTTCTAAGAGTGACTCTGTCTTAACTTTGTTCGGAGGGTGTGCATTTGCAGCCTTATACTTGGTGCTTTCATCATGCTCCTGCCTCTCAAAGCCTGCAAGGGACGATCCGATGCTGAAGAAGTTGCGACTCAGACGGACTCACGGATGCGGCCTGTCGTGTCACGAGAGTGTCTGCAAGTGTTGAAGACCAGTGAGCATGCGAATACACTTGCCAAATTCCTCCGGCAGTTTTCTCGCGCATTCATCGCGAAGAGCTCCAAGCCCCAACGACTGTCCAGCTGTAATTGTTGATGCTGAGGCTGGAAGCTTTGCGACGGCAGGCTCTGCGAAGGAGCCAACCGATCATCGTTGAGAGTTGACTCTGCAGTTTTTTCGCTCCATGCAAGTTGGGCCACTGTATTCGGTACTTCTGTCAAGGACTCGTCCTCCTAAGGCTTCCGTATTTGCAACTGCTGCTACAACGGTGATGCCCGTCTAGTGTACTTAAATTGGTGTTGCTGTTGATATACTGGTCGCAGCGGACAAGTCGTAGTTCAGTGTTCGTCGTCCGAGCTTTCTCCGAGCTTGCAGGAAGAATGGGCAGTCCGACAAGTGCCCTCGGCTTTTTGCAGCCTGAATGCATTCCAAGGCTTCCTTGTGCTCGCAAGATTGTGGTATTACAGGGGCCATAATAATTACCAATATGATTCCTAGGGTTCCTTATTACACTTATAGTATAATCAGGCCCCTATATTAGCAGTCCCAGCTCGTGTTTGCCGTGGTCGTGGCGTCGCAGAGCTAGAAGTGTGGATGGTAGTTCGAGGAGGAGGAATGCGTCGGCGCAATCGTTGAACGTAAACCTTTAACAGCACTTATGGCCAAGTGATACTATGCAAGCTTAGCACCCCAAGACTCCCTAAACTCTAGGTTCTCAAAGCAAAGCCCTCCAAAATCTAAATACGGCACCAACCCACACCCACGACGCTTTGCTTCCAAGTTCCAAGGTTGAGCGACGTGGTGGCACAGCCGTGAGGGCAGCTGGGAGGCATGCTCACATCTTGTGGCTATCAGCAAACCTTTGTTCAGCCCTGAAGCCTAAAACCCTTGAAGTGTATCGCCTTCGAGACCCTAAAGCCTTCCGAAGCCTAAAGCCCTAAACCAAACCCCCATCAATAATTGGAATAGGGTTTTGGGGCCCATCCTACTATAATCATATAATAAGGACACCCAAAATAGTGTTGGTAGTTTATTTAGGCCCTTATATTATGTAGGCGGCGACTGGCGCCAACTCCAAGCGAAGATGACTGGGCCCGGTTGGAAGATGACGAGGGCCTGGTCAACGATGCGCTTCTGGACATTTAGGGCTTGGGGTTTAGGGTCTTAGAGTTCAGTGTCGTGAGGTCCTACTTGGAGGTTCATGGGTAGTTCTAACTGGGGTTATAACTAGGGTAGCTACATTTCTTCCCCATATTAAGGGACTTATAACCCCACTTATAACTCCTCCAAGTAGGCGTCAGTGTTCAGGATCCACAGGGTTTAATAAGGCGCCCCGGGGGTTGACAGGTCCTAAAGTTCCATCCAGGCTTTGGGTTCTAGGCTTTAGGGCGGAGGCTACGAAAACCTAGACCCTAAAACCTAAATCCTAAATCCTAAACCCTAAACCCTAAATCCTAAACCCTAAACCCCGGTGGCGGATCGTAGTAGCCCTTCAGGTAGCCCCAACAGACCCCGTTCTCCGGAAGCCTCTAAAGGAACCCTGTTCTAAGTTTTAAGGCTCCGATTTGCCCTTTTTGGGTAGCCTAAATAATAGGTGCCGTATTATAATGGGGACCCAAACGGGACCATAATTTTGACAACCACCCATTTCCAAGTTTCCTCTGCGCCCCTATGGCAGGACTTCTGCTTGCCAAGACTGGCCGCCATCAGCAGGAGCGCAGGCGAAGCGAAGAGAGGGGCCGGAAATCTCGCGAGCCGCTTTTTTCAGAAATCCAAAGTTCTACCCGTGAGCGGAGAAGAATCGTAATATAGGGGCCTTAATAATCACCTATACTTTTGAATGGGGTTCCTTGTTACAATTATAGTATAATGAGCCCCAATACTCCCAAAACCCTATTCTAATCACTCAGCCCCCTCTATTACCCGTCAATGGAGAAGAAACGGATCAAACAAGGAGTTGAACCCAAAAGCCTACTATAGTATGTGATAGCATATTACAGTATATTGATTGTTGTGTACTATAGTATATTCTAGTATCTGATAGATGCCTCAACCGCCATCCTCGGGGACAGGCCGTGTGCACATCTTCAGTGCCCTTTTCTACACGCAGCTATCCAGTGGGGGGTGGTCCAAGGCGTGGACGCCTGCACGGATTACTAGATATTGAATATAAGTTCTATATTGTATACGATGTTAGGTACATATAAAAATGCTCTGTTATGTGTGTATATATATATATATATACACATATATATATATATATATATATTTTTTCAATTTTCAGTTTCCGTGTCGGGTACCTTTGCAAACAGTGGTTGACAATACAACAGAAAGGCAGCATACTTCTTCCTCTTCCCAATTAGAACACTCACCGCATCGGGCAGAGCGCTTTAAGTTGGAGTTATCGTGGTTCAGTTGCCATCTTGTTTTGCCGCAGGGTGTTAGGCTTGTTGTGGTGTAGTTTGCGCTATAACCCGTATCGTGCATACCAGAGCCTGGTAGGCTATGTTACCAACTACAGCAGCTCTTGTTCTTTAGCATTCATTCCATCATGCCGGGTGGTGTTGTACAACACATGCCCACAGGACATGTCCAAATCGTACGTGTTATGCACGATTTGGAGCAGCCGTGAGCGAGGGTCGGGGCTGTTTCGGAGGTGAAGACCTGGACGAAAAGTCTCAGGCCGGATGGCATTGAGGGCTTCCAGCTTGCGGTGAAGAGGTTTATGGTGGAGGAATTCAAGGTTTAGAGTTTAGAGTCAAGTGTTTCGGGTCTAGTGTTCGGGATCCGATAGCAGTGTCGTGGTTGCGGTGTTGGGATTTCGGGCGGCCTGAGTTTCTGTTCGGCTTGAGCAGATCGTCTTGAGAACGCGTGCAGCCTGTGGCACTCCTCCAGGCAAGAATCCCCTGCGGGAGTTTTTGCCAAAGACTTCCTCTTCGACTTGAACTCAGGACTCTGTAAGCACTAGTGAGTCACACGAGCAGATGATCATTGCATGTGCTGACGTGACTTCGCTACGCACCCCAAGCCACAATCCCTAAACTCTAAAGCTCCTTATACAACACGTACAGTAACCCTCAAAGAAATCCGTGTTCCCTCCCTCCCCCAAGCTAACCAGCAGAACTAAAGCCCTAAGCCCCAAACCATCTGTGCTCGCTCCATGTGGGCTTTTGAGTGACGCCCAGTGCAGACCCAAAAAGGAGCCCTAAAAAAAAACATTGTTCCCTAACACCTGAAGGCCACCCTGAACCCAGGTCCCGGCCCACGATCCGGTGACTGGGCACTGGTGGCTGGCCCTTGTTGTGCACCCGCTGCAGCCTCAGGGACTCAGGGGGGCTCAGAGACAGGGTTCGGGTTGAGGATGTAGGGCGGAGGGTTTCGGCTTGAGCGTTTAGCGTTTAGGGTAAACCCTTAACTCGCACCCAGGCAAATAGAACCTTTGCAGAAACCCTACCTTAACTCCAAATACCTACCTCTTTAAGGACTTATATAAAGAAATCATATTAGGGAACCCTAAAAAAGGTAGGCTCCTTAGGGTCCAGGTACACCCTAAACCCCGGATAGGACTCCCCAAGCGCTTAGCCCCAAGCTCGACAGGTGGGCGGCTGGTAAACCCAAAGCTGGCGTGATGGACGTCCCGACCTTCACGCCGATTCCTGAGCAGAGCTGACGATGAAGGTTTCTGCTGTAGGCATGGTTTATAGCCATGGCGATGATATTCTTGAAGCTTACGGCTTTTCAGGTGTAGATCGTGCAATTAGGGCTGGCTTTAGGGGTTTGGGAGTTCTTGGTTTCAAGATCGTCTGCGCAAGGTCTCGCAAATAAGGTTTCTGGTAACATAGGACCCTTATGCTTTGGGGCTTCTATTGAGCTCAACTCGAAAAACTGTATAGTACCAGTCGAAGTGATAGTCATAGTAGCAGTAGCAGTACTGGCAGCAGCAGGAGTAGCAGTAGCAGTAGCAGTAGCAGTAGGAGTAGGAGTAGGAGTAGTAGTAGTAGTAGTAGTAGTAGTCGTCGCAGAAGTAGTAGCAGTAGCAGTGGTAGTGGGAGTAGGAGTAGGAGTAGGAGTAGGAGGCAGGAGGCAGGAGTACGAGGTAGTAGGAGTAGGAGCAGTGGTAGTAGTAGGAGCAGTAGTAGTAGTAGTAGTAGTAGTAGTAGTAGTAATAATAGTATTAGCAGTAGCTCAATAGTTCAGCAGCTCAGTAGCAGTAGCAGCATCAGCAGTTGCAGTAGCAGTAGTTTCAGTAGCAGCAGCAGTAGCAATAGCGGCAGTAGTGGAAGGAAGAGCTGTTAGTGAAGTCAAAGGAATGTGTTGAAAGGCCAGGAAAAGGTTATCCAACCCCAAACTCTAGACCAGACCCCAACCCCTTCCCCTAAATCTTGAATCGTTAGCCCTTAAACCCCAAACCCTCAGCCCTTAGACCTAAACCCCGTTGAGCAACCAGCCCAAGACACCAGCAGGCCAGGACACCACGAGACTTTCGTGGCCATCCTCGACTCCATTGACCCCGTCCCAAGGCCAGGATTCGTTTTTGGAGTTCGTTACGAACGGCAAGCTTTGACCAATGGTGGCTCGCGGGCCGCGCGAAGCTCGTTCCGCGATGTCTTATATGTGCGTGTGCTTGTGTACATGCTTACATGCATGCATCTCTGCAAAGATGCTGTATGTGCTGATGCACAAAGTTGGCTCCTGTGTGTGTGTGTGCGCATGTACACATGGCTCTGTGTCTCTGTCTGTCTATATGTGAATCATTGCATGATTTTACGTTCGCATGCGGGCCTGTACAGAGCTGAAGGTGTGTCTACAGGCATTTATTAGCACATGCATGATACATTCTTGCGCTCATGGGTGACGTGTGTGCATGTTTGGTGCTTGTGGAGGAGTCTCTGTTTGTGTTTGGTCGTCTTGATACGTGCGTGTGTACGCAGGTACGCATGTATGTATACAAGTACCTGCAATGTCCGCATATAGGATGTTATGTAATGTAGTGCAACGTAATCGAAGCAAAGGTGATGTGACGTATCTTACAGTACCGTACCGTGCCGTACGGTACTGTACTGTGCTGCAGCATAACATAGTGTAATGAAATGGTTATGTAAGGAAATATATTGTCATGTAGTGCTGCACATGTCCCAGTGGATTTGTTTGCATCTTCCTACATGATTGTGTGAAGAGGCGAGTAAACACTCCAGCACTGCATCATTCGCTTGGTGGCCCGGCATCTTGTGTATGTTCTTTCGCACCAGATGAAAAACGCTACAGACGTAGCAGATACTCACAGACACATCTGTTTATGTTACTGAGTTATCAGAATGCATGGATGCTCTTTTGGATCAGCACTGAAACTAGAGAACTTCTGACTTTCTGGGACCGTACAGAAGCTTCGTCAAGCCCTCCAGACCTCTCAAGCTCCTTACCGCGATACAGAATCCAGAAGGATCTGCATGGAGGTCGTATGCAACTTACAGGAACGAATCGAAGACTCATCGAACCTGAGAACAACCAGTGTAATAGGACCCTAAACCCTCAACATGTCCTTAACACCTGAATATAAGGGCCTAAATAGTTACCAACACTATTTTAATTTTGGGGTTCCTTGTTATAAACGGGCCCCAGAAACCCTATTCTAGTTATGAAGGCCCCTATATCAGAACCCTAAACCCTGCCAGGCTCCCGGAGTCATCGGTCATGAACCCTGAGGATGCAGAGGCCCAGCTTAGCCAAGGGGGGCTCTTCTTCCTGGTGCTTCTGGAAGTACAAAAAGCCAAGCTGATGTTTCATGATGTTGTTTTTTGACAGCGATAGTGCTTGGTCCTGCCGTACAGGGCTGTTATTCAGGTTATTCATTATTACTAGTACTACAGTATTATTGTACTGCCCACTTGGGCTACATGGTGGGCGTCCGGGCCGGGGAATCTGATCCTTAAAACACTAAAACTAAAACCCAACCCTACGCCCTTAGCCTGCAATCGTTTGGGGCTTTGGGAGGGAGTGGTTCCGAGCACTTGGGGTTGACAAATCAGGGCTCCAGAACCTTAGGTGGTCTTTCTGGGGGATCTCAACAACCATCTTGCCAAGCATGGTATTGCATGGGTCACTGGTGCGACCTATTAGCAAGAATACTGAAATGACACTCAGAGAGACGTTGTTGCATTCGCCATGACCAGGTGGCAGCTCAGGCCATCGTAGCCGCTGGACCCCGCCACGCCGATGCTGTGAAGCATCTCCAGGACTTGTACGTCGAGCAGACCCAGAGACTCCAATATCCCTTAATTAAGGAATATTCCTTAAATTATAGTAGGATCCCTAATATGATTTAAGGAATATTCCTCAAATAAGGGATATTGGAGTCTCTGGGGAGGAAGAGCTTGGAAGCTCAGAGTCGCTACTTGGAGGTTCATGGGTAGTTATAAGTGGGGTTATAGGTAGGGTAACATATTTGTAACCCACATTATAGGAGACTTATATATTTTGACTTGTAGCTACCCATGAACCTCCAAGTAGCGCTTGCAGGAATACTTGAAGAAAGAGTGGGAAGACTGCGGGCATCTCAGTGGGCTGTTCTGTTTTTGCGGATGTCTTTGGACAGACCTGCTGTCTCGAGGTTTCCACGGTGCTGCCGATTATGACGCCAGCAAGATCCAGAGCATATCCATCGCCGTGCCGCAGCAGGCAGTCCTTCAGCTTTGCTGCAATCTGCAAGTACATTCGCCAATGTTTTGCGCTTGGTGCTGCAGACCAATGAGACGGACTGTGGTGTCTATGTCTTGGAGTACGCTCCCTACTTGAGGGTTGGGTTGAATAAACACTTGGCTTTTAACGGCCCTTTGTTGATGGCAATATCAGGGCTTCCCGATGCCTACCCCCGAAGAAGTATGTGTCGTGGCTGTCGATCCTCGCAGCAGTGCTCATTTAACCCTCAAACCCTATAAACCCTAGACCCTTTGTTCCATCTGTGCGTCCAAGACTGCTTGGAAGCCGCAGCCCTCCGGAGTTGGAATCGTAATATAGGGACCTTAATCATTCGAATAGGATTCCCTTTAAAGGGCTCTATAAGGGCTAATTAGAGTAGAGTTTTGCGGCCCATTATAAAGTATTTATGACAAGGAACCCCCAAAATAGTATAGGTCATTATTAAGGCCCCAGCTTCACTTTACGCATGTGGTGCCAAGAGTCTGAGATCCTGGGCACCAGCCCCGAAACCTAGGTTTGCACGCCGCATGTTGGAAGATCCGAACATCCTGGATTTCATCGTGGAGTACAAGGCATTCGTCAATTGGAGTCTGCCTCCTGACAGGGTAGGCTTGTCGGTGTGACGGCTCCTGTCAGTGCTAGGAGTATGGAGTTGCGGTCTTGCTTGATATTGCACGCACTGGAGTTTCCACCGTTTGTCAGGCGTCGCCGCCGCAGCTCTCGGCGCCCACGTCGGGACAATTGCGGGCCAAGTGGCGACGGGTTGGGGACACTTGCCTGAGGCGTAATTTCGGAAGACCTCTGGTCCGAATATAAAATCCCTGATTCCGCAAATCCAGAAGCAAGTATACACTGCGACACCCAACCTGAAGGACTGAAGCCGTAGGCAGCAAGAAAAGCGCAAACGGATCTTATGGGAATGCTGTAGCCGGTTCGGTCTCGTGGTTTTGTGGCAGAAGCGATGGACGTACATCTGATTCTCCACAGCACTTGAGAGCGATTTTTTGGTGATTCAGCGCTGTGAGGGTGGACGGCTGACAGGGTCCAAGATTTTCGGGTGATGGCCTTCGGTTTTGACATGAGGGTTTCGGGTTTCGGAGAAGGTTTTGAGGTTTAGAAAATTTCGGGGGTTGGGTTTTTCAAGGTCGCCTGGCAGTGGAAGGGAACTTGCTTGCCTTCCCCGGCACTCCGAGCCCAAACCTTAAAATCTAGATCCGAAGCCCTCAACCCCTACTGCTCATGGCTTGAATCCTTAACCAGCCCCCAAAGCCTACATCCTCTTCAATCCTCATATCCTCACAACAGCCCAAATAGCGCACTCAAAACTCCGAAGCTAATCCTTATTACCTAAAGCCGCAACACCCAAACCCTCGCCGCCTAAACATCACGTACCTCTGTCGTATATACTATATCCACCCATATATAGAAATATATTGCAAGAAGGCTTTGACACAAAAAAGTAGAGCCAACCCAGGCCAGGCTCGAGGGGGATGCGTCGCTTGGCCGCGCAGCCTGGAGTTCTTTTTCAGGGGGGTCCGAGATTGGGTTCTGACAAGAGGTTCAGGGTTTCAGGGTTTCAGTAAGGCTGTTTTTCGGGGTTTATCGGAGGGCTGGGCTAACAGCTGACCGTGGTTGTGACGATGGTGAGGGTGATGGCAATGGCCAACACCATCTGCTCGAGAAGCCTTAACCAGAAACTCCATACCCCAAGCCGGTCCATCTTTCGCTTGGCGAGGTTATGAAAGACATGTTTGTGGTTTGGGCTTTGTCTAGTAGATGGATGGCCTAGGATGCAAGGGTCTATGCATGCTAGGACTTCTGCCCCAAAGGACTTAGGGTCACCCATTCCTCATACCAAGGATGTTGTGCCAGAGGCTTTGGGTGTTGACAACGTTCGTAGCTTCGCGCGCCAGCCATGGCCAAACAGGAGCCGGATGAGCGGGCTGAGCCGATCGGAAATCAGAAGAGCTCGGAAATCTCGCTTCGATCTTTCCAGTCGCGTGTGGCAGAGTGGGGCGAGCAATGCTTTGGATCTCAATCCTCTGACGAGACGTGGGTGCCCACCAAGCCCTGCTGTCTGGCGAGTCCCTTTCTGGGCTTAGAAGCTTGTCTATGGGAAAGTTGCAAGAAGCACGAACCGACGCCATGTGAGTTGGTTGAGGTGCATGAGTTTTTCGGCGAGAACCCGGAACATAGTCTTTTGATCGGGCATCTGAACCACGGCTCGACGTGGTCTCCATGTCGGCATGTCGGTGCGCCTTTGTGCGGGATCTTCCCCTTTGCTATTGGGCCAGTGGTGGCTAGCCGCTCGCGGACGGCGGCATGCTCAATCTCTCACCGACCTTGGGTGGCTCCGCTGCGCAGCGCCCAATGGTCAAGCGGAAACCTACACGGTCGAAGGTTCCCCTCTCCGCAGTGAAAGGCGTTTCTTTCCGCAAGGGCTTTGCGAAGACGCCGAGCGGAAGCGGAAGCTGCAGTGGCCCCCGAATTTGAGTCCATGAGGACACAGAAGGGGATCAGTTGGAGCCGGACCCGGGCACGCTGGGTAGCCTGGTTCCGGGTCTCCGAAACTAAGAAGCGGATATGCGGGAGCTTCACCCCCTATGATTACTCAACCAAGGAGGTGGAGAAGGCCTGGAAGAAGGCACTGGCGCAGGCAGCAAGAGAAGCAGCAGCTTAAGCGGACCAGCGAGCGCCGATAGTATCGCATCGTGTAAATGTGTGCACGATGCGATGCGCATGCGGCAACAGATCTGGCCGAAACTGTGAGTTTAAGGTTTAATTAGGAAGTACGGTTAAACCGTAGCACACGGCGCCCCTGTACAGTCCCGGGATAATTACATAAAGTATTCATTCTGCCCCGCAACCCTATTCAGCACGATGGTCCGTGCGCTGACGTAAAGCAAGCGCTTTGCCCCGAAACCGAAGGGGGCCTTGCAGAAATTAGCATGAGCCAGGCCAAGCGGCGAAGGTATAATTACTGCATATCACTACAGTTCTTCTGATTACGAGGGTACGTTTCACCCCAGCACCAGCAGCTGCAGGACCACCACACCACCAAGCCCAGGACCAGCGCCGGCACCAGGGGACTTGGGGCTTCAGTTCTCAGTCTCAAGCATCAAAGGCAAGCAGAGCCGACCATCTAACTTCCGAGATCGGGGGGAAAGGCTGCAAATGCCCCTTGTGAAGTAGACCGTAACGCTATAGGTCGGATGGCAGAGTGTGGCATAGGGTGACGAGAGGTGTGGTCAATTGTTTGGTGAGCCTTCAGAGAGGGTTTAAGGAAGTTTAAGGAGTGTGTGCCTGCCACAAAACCTCTGATAATAGGGTCGAGATAAATCCGACATCCACCCACACCTGTTTCCATAATCCTGGTCATTATCGAGGCAAGGCACGCGGCGGGCTGTAGCCACGCCGGCCAGGGCAGCGGCTCCTTGCAGTGCAGCCAGGGCCTCCGTCCACTGCCTTTTGGGTTTCGAGCTCCCTCTTCACGACCTGTCTTCGTTCGCCTTCCTTTTTTTTGCGGGTTCATGGTGCAACATCGACGGCTTCGGGAGGTCGGAGCCAGGAGCCTCAACTACCGCAGTTGATGTTGCGGTGGGTATCCACATGCTACATTCCGCTCGCGATTGCACAGTACTGTCTTCACGTGCCCCGAAGCCCTCCATCTATGTTTTGGGTTTTCGGATGTTGGGCCCGAGGCTGACGGAGAGCAGCCCGTGCGTACAGGCTCTGACGATGAGCCCGTGACAGTGGTGTCACATCGAACCGAGAAGTCAGTCCCTCGTGCTTTTGAATGGTCCTGAAGCGGTCCAAGGGGATGAAACTCCTTTGCCATGTTTAACTTCAACTTCCCGAAAGCCGCTGACTTCTAGTATGACTTTGGAGCTTGCTTTACTTCGATTCGAGACTGCTCAGGGAGTCAGAAGCTCAGAACAATAGCGGTAGCCGTACCCTTAGTCTGACTTAAGCAGCTGAGAATCATTAAGGCCCCCGTACTAAACTCTGAAAATGCTCTCTAAACCCTTATCGTAATCTTTCCAGTAACTCTTATACTCTACTAGATAAAAATATAGCATAATATGATTAGTATTGACAATCTCACCCCTAAACCCTAAACCCTAAACCCCTAAACCCTAAACCCTAAACCCTAAACCTTAAGCCTTGTTCTTAAGCAGCTGAAAGCTGGAGCCTTCGTTGGCCTTGGACCGACTCTTCGAGCGCAGGCAGCGCGCTCTTTGGTAGAGAGATCTCTGATCTTTAGGAGTTTAGGGGTTTAGAGTTTAGGGTTTAGGGTTTAGGGTTTAGGGGCCTGTATAAAGGGGTTTTATGGGTTGCAGGATCGTATACCGGCTGTATGAGGTTTTAACTATGGGGTTTGGCAGGGTTTCTCGGTTTTCTTAGGTTTTAATAGGGGTTCATACGGTTTGTTTGTTTTTTTCAGGGCTTATGACGGTTTTGTAAGGGTAAATTTGGGGTTTCGCAAGAGACTCATCAGAAAGAGTTTGCACGCCTGACAGACCCCAGGGAGACGGGTCAACCCTGCGAAGACTCCATCATGGATGTTTGCGGATGCTCGTGTTGAGGTATGTCGGACCTAGAATCTAGAATGATATGACCATGGCTTTGACTACTAATGGTGCGCATCCTCCTAAGTCGCCATCTAGGGTCACAGCTACTTGTTAGCCCAGCTGCCACTGCTGTCCCCGTCGCCAGAAATTAGTTTCAGTTCATTTTTTGTATTGCTCTCATGTGCATGACCTTGATGGGTTTTGAATCGAACTTCGAACCTAAACATCGTGAAATATCATATCCCACCAGGGTTCAGGTGATGGTGACAACCTACGACAGTTGCTACGGCCCTGACGGTTCCTGCAACCGGTCTAGATTAGCACTAGTCATGCCACTCCTCTGACGTTCCTATGCTGCTCTACGCCTAAAGCCCAAGCCATAAGGAGTCGGTTTCTACTCGCAAGCATGGCGGAGTCTGCACATGCAGGTTGAATTCGTACCACATGCGCGATCTGGCATTCAACGTAGCAGCTGCACCTCAGAACCAGTTCCTCTCTTTGCGCGCCGATTACAAGAGTCTGCTTGTGCTCACGAGCCCATAAGATCAATTGTTGAGTAGTGGTAGTGGTACTACTATACAGTGATAGTACCAGTCGTCGCCGTCGTTTTCGTCACTGTTGTCGTTGACTTGGTTGTTGCTTTTTGTAGTTGTAGCCTTGGCAGTCAACAGCGTCGTAGCAGTCGGCGTCTAGTTGGTGGCAGTAGTAGCAGCAGCAGCAGCAGTAGCAGTAGCAGTAGCAGTAGCAGGAGCAGGAGCAGGAGCAGGAGCAGGAGCAGGAGCAGTAGCAGTAGCAGTAGCAGTAGCAGTAGCAGTAGCAGTAGCAGCAGTAGCAGTAGCAGTAGCAGTAGCAGTAGCAGTAGCACTAGCACTAGCACTAGCACTAACACTAGCACTAGCACAGCACTAGCACTAGCAGTAGCAGTAGCAGTAGCAGTAGCAGTAGTAGCAGTAGTAGCAGTAGTAGCAGTAGTAGCAGTAGTAGCAGTAGTAGCAGTAGTAGCAGTAGTAGCAGTAGTAGCAGTAGTAGTAGTAGTAGTAGTAGTAGTAGTAGTAGTAGTAGTAGTCTTAGCCGTTGTAGTAGGCGTAGTAGACATAGTAGCAGCAGTACCAGCAGCAGGAGTAGTAGTAGTAGTAGTAGTAGTAGTAGTAGTAGTAGCAGCAGCAATGGCAGTGGCAGTGGCAGTGGCAGTGGCAGTGGCAGTAGTAGTAGAAGTAGTAGTAGTAGTAGTAGTAGTAGTAGTAGTAGTAGTCGTAGTAGTAGTAGTAGTAGTAGTAGCAGTAGCAGTAGCAGTAGCAGTAGCAGTAGGAGTAATAGTAGTAGTAGTAGTAGTAGTAGTAGTAGTAGTAGTAGTAGTAGTAGTAGTAGTAGTAGTAGTAGTAGTAGTAGTAGTAGTAGTAGTAGTCTTAGTCGTTGACGTAGTAGGCCTAGTAGACATAGTACTACTACAGCAGCAGGAGTAGTAGTAGTAGTAGCAGCAGAAGCAGCAGCAGCAGTGGCAATGGCAGTAGCAGTAGTAGTAGTAGTAGTAGTAGTAGTAGTAGTAGTAGTAGTAGTAGTAGTAGTAGTAGTAGTAGTAGTAGTAGTAGTAGTGGTAGTAGTAGTAGTAGCAGCAGCAGCAGTAGTTGTCGTTGTAGTAGCAGCAGCAGCCGCAGCAGGAGGAGGAGGACGAGTAGTGGTAGAAGTAGTGGGAGTTCTTATATTGCGATTCCGAAGATCGTGGAAGTCCAAGCTACTCGGATGTAATCGTGCCCGCACCGGGTCTTGGCTCGAAGGCGTCGCAGGACCCATATACTAGCCCCAAGACAGGCCAAAAGAGCTACCACATAGTTGTGGTCGGTATATGAATGTGTGTATATACACATGTCACATGCATGTATGCAAACGAAGAGTTTAAGTCAAAGATCATGTTGACAGAACGGAAGAACATTTCTAATTGAGGCTCGGTCATGAAGCCGCCTAACAGCCCCCAAACTCAAACCCATGAGCCCTTGAAGGTACCACGGACCCCATCCCGAGCCAGAAGCCAGCACCCCTTCCACCGCCCTCGTCTCTCCCAGCACCCAGCATTCCACTTGATGATGGCTTCCCTCCCGATGGAAGTTGACCAAGAGGCCCACTAACACTGGCACCTGGGTCAGTCGAGCGAGACGGTGTCGGGTTTGTTTTGGGTTTGCCATGAACTGAAGAACCCTGGTCTGACTCCGGCAAGTCATTTCACTGCAACGCTCGTTGAGGGAGTTCTGCTCCGTAAGCCCTTACGATCGACATGATCCTTTGACTTCATCGCACTGTCTGCCTAAACAGCTTGCTTGCGTAAATGGCATGACTACTGTGTAGGACATCGTCGGACATAGGTTTGGCTTTCTGCGTGCTTCTGCTGCTTCAGATGCCTTGGTGCATGCAGCAGGCTGGCGATACCTCGACTTTCGTGCTGGCCATGGGTAACAACTCTGACGGGCAGCTGGGGTGCGGTATCGCGGAGGATGACGATGACAAGGTCAGGTCGAGGGGTTTGCTTGGATAGTGGAGGATCGTGGCAATGTTCTTGGGCAGTCATAGTCCACCAAACAGCGACAGACATCAGGGTATTGGGTGGTACCAGAGTGAACGCCACTACCATTGTTACCACAACCACCACTACCTCAGCCGCTTTCGCTCACATCATCCACATTATCCACCACCATCATCGTCATCGTTACCATCATCATCATCGTCGCCATCACCGCCATCATCAATCATCTTCGCCACCAACATCGCCACAATCAGCCCCTTCCTAGTCGGTGTCGTGGTCCTCCTCATTGCTTGTCGTGTCGCAGAAAATCGAGCGTCGCAGAGAGCATGAAGACGGGAAGGAACTCTCTTCTTGATGAGACTTTCAGGTGTTTGCCCCTTGCGAACTGCATGCTTTTGACTCGGTGAATATTCGAAGTTGCTCGTCATCGTTGAAGCATTCAATCTGGTTGAGTTACGACGGTTTGGTGTACACTTCTGGGGACAATGACTCTGGACAGCTGGGCAGAGCCGGGAAACGGGCCAAGCCTTTCAAAATTGACTCCATCGAGCACATGCCTGTGGAAAGCACGGCCGCTGGAAATGGCTTCACTGTCCTGGCTGCGAAGCTGGATGGGCGCTTGATGGGGGTCGGGCGGGGGGACCGTGGGCAGCTGGGGATGGGTGGCGCTGATCGCGACGACAAGGAGCGGGTGAAGTTTTCCTCTGCATTGGATGAGCAGCTTCTGCATTTGTCTGCTGGGGAGTCGCACTGCATTGCGCTGTGCCGCTCGGGGAAAGTACTCGCCTTCGGTGAGAACAAGCACGGCCAGCTTGGGGTCGGTGACTTTGTGAGTACCGCCACACCGAAGCCAGTGCCGACTCTTTCAAGCCGACCGGTGGTGCAGGTCTCTTGTGGAGGGGCCCACAGTTTGGCAAGGACCGCCACAGGACTCCTCTGGTCCTGGGGTTGCAACGAGCACGGCCAGCTTGGCCTGGGAGATCTGAAGCCCCGGTTCCGGCCCGAGCAGGTGAAGGCCATGCGCGTCTCCCGCTGCGTGGACGTGGCGGCGGGGAATCGCCACAGCCTGAGCATCTCGGAGAAGGGCCTCGCCTTTAGCTTCGGGGCTGGTGGAAGTGGGCAGCTGGGCTCCGGTGGCATTGCTGAGGCGGAGCCCTACCCGAAAGTCATCGAAGCACTGAAGGAGATCGGCACATGTTTGCAGATTGCCGCTGGCCACAGCCACAGCCTTGCTGTGGTTCTGAACGAGGACTCCTTGAGGGAAAATCTGTACGTCTGGGGCCTGGGGTCGAGTGGCCAGCTGGGCATCCCCCGAGAGAATCTTCATGAGAAGAAGCTCTCGCCGTTGCCGCAGAAGCTGCGGCTGGATCCGTCCCTGAAGATCGTGAGCATCTGTAGTGGTCCACTCTCGCACCACACCTTCCTCATCGTTTCCAGGACTGCCGGAACTGAGTCGAGGGGTGGCTACCCTGGAGCTGCAACTGCAAGGGAGTCATTAAGCCCGCGAGCGTCCTTGGGGCCATTGAGGCATTCCTTGCACACTGCAATTGATGCAGACGAGCTGCTCCAAGCCCTGCGAAGTCTGAAGGGGAGTGAGGGCATTCAGCAGACTGCCCTCGTTAAGGCAGTGGGAGCTGCCTTCAGCTCCGTCAGTGTACTGAATGCTTCTTTTCGGCGACCATCGCCGCTGGGAACGACCGCAGAATCCAGTGGTGTCGACCTTCTGAAAGTCCGCAAGGCATACCATACACTTGTCTTCGAGCTGCGGAATGCCGAACTGATCAATACGCTCGGAAGAGCCACTGTTTCCATCTGTGATGAGCTTGCAAAGCAGCGTGTGCCGACGGATGATCCGGAAACGCTCTGCGTGTTTTTGGTCCTCTTCGAGAATCCCCTATTGCTCGCTGAGCACCGCACCTCCTTGTTCGCCGGCTTCCACGTAGCGCTACAGCGCCTGACGGCTGCGGTCCTGTCTTTGCCCAAGGACTCCCAGAAGCTCCTTTTCGGCTGGTTGAAGCTTTGTACTGCTCTCAGGAACTAGGGATTCATTTGTCTTATCATATAACTGAAAGGGGGGATGAATGGGAATGAAATTTCTATTCTGGTTCTCTTATGGCGGCTAAGGAAGCACCTCCCGAGTGAGTACTTCGGACGTGTGGTGAACGTCATGCAGCAGTACGTGACCTACGTTCTGACACAGCCTGGGCAAAATCAAAGCGACGTTTCGGCAGCTGTCATGATGCTGCAGACCCTCTGGGATGCTAATGCCGCTAGGTAGGCCACGGAGATATTGCCTGTCGTATTGTTTTTCGCTTAGTGGTATTAGCTAACAGGATCCTACCTAAGGCTCTTTTTCAGAAACGCAAAAGGGCCAACAACAAACCATACCCCTTGTATGAACTTGTATGAACATGAACTTTAAACTCTATAAAACCCTAAACCGGATATGAATATAAACAGTAAACCCCATAGAACCTAAACCTAGGCAGAGATGGACGGCATTCTGCCGGAGTGGTGCTTTCAGAGCCTTGCGATTTCGCAGAGCGTCGACCTACAGGAGCACTATCGCCACATGGATTTGATTTTTTCAGCAGAGTCATTGGGTTTAGCATTTCGGGGTTTGGGCCATTGGGGATGTTTTTTCGTTCTAGGGCTTCGAGGTTGAAAAAGGTAGGCAGTTTGGGGATCAAGGTTTGGGGTAGAGGTCATAGGTTCCTTGTGTACATTCCACATGCAATGGTTCTTGTTTCTTCTTGCTGTCCGACTTCCGACTTTTCGCCCAGGTCAGTGGCAGCAGCAGCAGTCACTCGTGTTTTCCTACTGCCACCCGCTTGAAGTTTGATAATCAGGAGAGGTTCTGAGGTTCTCGTGTAGCTCGATAATACGAAGCTGTCAGGAGGAAGAGGGCCAAGCAAAAGAGGACGACAAGAATAGAAGGATGGAGCAGCACAGATTCAGCGTCCATTTTTCATTACAAACTTGAGAGCGGAAGCAGCCATCGACATCCATCCGTCTAAAGTCTCTGTATGAGCCCGCCTCTTCTTTTCCTTCAGCCAGGGTCTCAATCGCTTCACCTCGAGGACCTGCCTTGATTAAACCCTTCAAGAGCAGGCGAGAGTGGATACCTAGAGGCTCCATAGTAGTTCCTTGTTGTGGTTCATACGTAGAATCCTAGAAGGTAGCCCCAAAAAGGCACTAATACGGAGCCCATGGGTAACCTCTAAAGGATTTTTGGCACAAAATTGAATTTCTCATCGTCAAACTGCGAAGCATCGCAGCCCTAGCTCTGGCCAGGAACAAGACATGGTTGCCCGCTTTGAGAGACTTAATATAGGGGCCTTAATAACTAGAATAGGGTTCCTTTAAAGGGGCCTCTAAGGGTTGCTTGAAGGGATCCACATGGGCGCTAGAATGCAGGGGCCTTAAATTATTAGAAAAGGGTTTGGGCGGTTTTTTTGCTTTAATTACAATAGGAGACAGAACTCCTAAGGCCCCATACATTGTGCATCAAGCTGGAACCTGAACCCTGACACGAAACCCAAACCCGCAAGCAATTCCTGAAACCTCAAAGCGAAGCTTCCCAAACCCACACCCAAAAGTTGTCCTTGTAAATTGCTGTTACCGGTTGGTCTTTTTGTTGCTATTCCTACTACGCAGTGCTTTCGAAATTACACCCCATCGGAAGCCTCAAGCCTTAAAGTCGTAAACTGTAGGCCCCGAAGCCCTAAACCCTATGTCATACGAGCCCGCGCCCCTCAAGCCCGAAGGCCTTTGCGACCAAAAGCCGTTTTCAAACTAAACCCTCAAGGCCGCCAAGACCCGAATCAGGGTAAATCAAACCAGCCCGAGTCAGACCCTAAACACGTTCTTGCTAGACACCAAGGTCGGTACCCTTTCCTCCTGAATGCCGGGGCCAAGCGTAGGCTGGCAGAATGCTGAGGGTTGAGGGTACGAAGTCTTTTCGGCTAAGTCACTCCCCCTTATTGTCACAGTCCCGTAATCTATATATGGCTACATCTGCTCCTCGTGGCAGCTGTAACAGTAAGCGAGACTGAGCAAAGCTTTGGTAGGGCTATAGGGTTAAGAATATTAATTAGGTCGCCGTCATTTAGTTTATGGCTCATGGTGTGACGTTCCGAGGGCTCTGCATTTTGGGAGTCGGGGTCTTGAGGCTCTGCATGCTGGGTCCTGGGGTTTAAATACCAATCTGCTTCATGCATTGCCCAAACCAGCATCCCACATAAGGGGTCGGGCTTTGTGTCAACCTCAAGGGCCGATGCGGGTACGGCTGGGCTTGGACCTTCCACGCTTCGGCGGAGGAAACGAGCCAGAGCCCGAACAAAAAAGCCGCTGACAACTAAAACATACCCTAGGCCCTCCTACTACTACTACTACTACTACTACTACTACTACTACTGCTGCTGCTGCTGCTACTGCTACTACTACTACTACTACTACTACTACTACTGCTACTACTACTACTACTACTACTACTACTACTACTACTACTACTACTACTACTACTACTACTACTAGACCTTAATATTCTGCCCTTTCTTTCGTTTGTGATTTCTTCACAGTGAATCTCAACCCTGAACCCTAACCTGCCACGGGTAACTCACGAAAGCCGAAACCGGAAGCAGAACCCTAAACCCCTACATAAGCCCTAAACCTGAAACCCCTTCTACATGGGAGTTTCCGAAAATGGGGGACCCTGATATAGTACCCTAAATAATAGGATCCTTATTGTAAGGACCCCAAAAGAAAGTACCCTGAATTTTCGGAAACTCCCACATAAACCCTAAGAATTCTGAGCAGGCTTATCTCCTTCGACGTGGAGCTACGTAGCCAAATGGCCTCCCAGGAGCTTTGGGCCAAGGTTCTCCGAGCCCCGGCAGAGTTAGTGGGATCTCCTTTAAAGGCGATCAAAAAGGGATCTTCAAAAGGCTCTAACACAGGGGCCTTGATAATGAGAATAAGGTTTTTGAGACCATATATACTATATTTCTAACAAGGAACACCCCCAAAATAGTATAGGTAACTATTCAGACCCCATAGTATCTGGGTTCTTGGAGACTCCGGATGGTACGTTAGTCTCGTGTATGAAAAAATCATGGCTGTGTAAGGGACGCATTCGATTTTGGATAGCGGATAGTGTTGGTATCTTCGAGATATGATACGCAAAAATCAGAAGAGAGACTACTATTGTGCGGTAACCTAACTGTATGTATGTATGTATGTATGTATGTATGTATGTATGTATGTATGTTCGTACGTATGTATGTATGTGACTGTGGTTTTGCACACACACCCAAAGTCGAAATCCTAAGGCCAACAAGTCTTAAACACCGAAACCGGGAGCCATCGGTATCATCATGACTAGGAGTAGTATTACTTTGTGTTGTTCTGCTGCTGCTGCTGCTGCTGCTGCTGCTGCTGCTAGTACTACGGCACACCCCTACTGTTTGCCCCGCGCCCTTCTTGAAGAAGTACGTTTTGACTGCACGGGCCCGATGGTTGCGGTTTTGGAGTCTCATGGAACCTGTTCTGTCTTTTGTAAAAATTTTCCCTCAAGTTTGCTTCAAATTTGCAACCTTCGTCGGGCGGGGAACGCCTGTTACAAGAGTGTTGCTAAAAGACCTACTGTGGATAGACAAAATCTTGCTTCACTTTTGAGCAGCGTCATTTCATGATTCCCTGCGCCCCCTTTTTAGCATTGGCCCTGAAAGGCTCGAGACCAGATTTGTTCCAATAGCCGAAATCTTGCACCGCTCATGTAGTCCCAGCTGCCAATACTAAGTAGGGGTGCGGGGCTTGATGCCTTACTCGTTTGAAGCATGCATGTGCAGGTGGTGCTAGATTTTGTCCCTCCACCGTAGACTCTGAGCGCAAATCCGAATCCCAAACGTCTGCAGTTCTCTGTGCTCATTTGCCGACCTCCTGAAGTTCAACAGCAAGACATGTCGGGCTGTGCTCTTGCCCTTTGCATGGGCTTTGTTCACGTGTCTTGGGTTTGGAGATGAAACGTCTGGTTGCGTGTCGAATGTTAGGGCATGAAGTTCAGTGTTCTGCTACTGCTTCATCCTGCGTGCTCTAGTGAGTGCGAGTTCTCGAAACATTGCATGGGCCCCCCACCCTCGATATGTTCCGTCTGCGGTCAGGCGCATGAAGCTTGAAAGGTCCATGACAACAGTGTTCCCGTCCAAGGGTTCCTGTGGTTGCTTCAGCGCTACTACTACTACTACTACTACTACTACTACTGCTGCTGCTGCTACTACTACTACTACTCCTGCTCCTGCTCCTGCTCCTGCTCCTGCTCCTGCTCCTGCTCCTCCTGCTGCTGCTACTGCTACTGCTGCTGCTACTACTATTACAATTGTTGTTATTCTTACTGGTAGGATGCTAAATCCTAAATGCTGAACCCTGAACCTGTTTTGCAGAATCAAGACCTGCTCTGCGTGCGGAGTTGAGAAAGAGTCATTGCACCTTAGAAAAAAGAACCCTGAACCCTAAACCCTATACCCTAAACCCTATACCCTAAACCCTATACCCTAAGCCCTATACCCTAAGCCCTATACCCTAAACCCTATACCTTAAACCCTATACCCTAAGCCCTATACCCTAAACCCTAAACCCTATACCCTAAACCCTATACCCTAAGCCCTATACCCTAAGCCCTATACCCTAAACCCTAAACCCTATACCTTAAACCCTAAACCCTATACCCTAAACCCCTAAACCGCCAGGAGAGGGCCTTGGAGCCCCTGAGGATGCTTTCCAGCGAGCACTGGTCTATCGGGTTCGGCGCGAGTCACTCTGAGAATGGACGGTTCAATAGGGTTCAATTGAGAGGCTACTAGGGTTCCTTTAAGCGTTCAAGAAGGCTTCCGAGATTTCTGTGGCTTTTGGGTATATCTTTTGTCCTTGGTGCGGGGGGGGGCTGCAGGGGATTGTGGTGGGTCTGATAGAGTTTCGTAGGCGGGTTTATTTGGGTTTGGGTCTCTTAGCTTTTTTGGGTCCTTATGTTAAACAAGTTTGCGAGCCTGAGACGTTTCTAGCTGAGAACTATAAGGTTACCACAAGGGTAACCGACAAGCTTAGGGGCTTTGCATGACTGTGGGGGTGAGTCCGGGAATAGGGTTTGGGGTCTGAGTTTCTGGGTTCTGGGAAGGTTTCGGTTCGTTGCAGTGGTTGATTGGGATTTCGGACTGGCATCTTTACTGACATCTAGGACTTTCTAAACTAAGCGGAGAACGCTGGAGCTGAAACGTTTACAAAACCCTAAACTCACCCCACAAAGCCAAGAGCCTAGGCACATCCTCTCGGACTTCTGCGGACAGCTCTGGTGGCGGATGCAGAACCAGCCAGAAAGCCTCTCGGCTTGCTGCTTAGGGCTCAGTGCGGAGTTTAGGGTTTCGGGTTCAGGGTTTGCGGGTGTGGATGGAGCTTAGCTAGATCACATGATTGTATCCGTGCGCAGGCTCGGGTTTTCAGGGAAGCAGGAGCTGTTGAAGCGAAGCGGCTCATTCCCTTGCAACAAGTCTGCAGGCTTCCCACAGATCGTTTCCTCATAGACTCATAGACATGCAGCTCAAGAATGAGGTAGGCTGCACGCTGCTCTCACAGTCTCCTTTGCAGCATCGCATGGGGTTGCTGTCAACGAGGACCCTCCTTAAGACCCCTGTGTCCAGCACACAGCCTCTTTGCAATGGAGTGTACTGAGCCCTCAAACCCCTCCGCCGGACCTCAACTTGCAACATCCTTCCTTGCACCCTGGACCGGAAACTAGCCCATCATGCGGTTTAAAAGAGCTTTTCAAGGAGCACGTCGAGATTTTAGTGTTCAAGATTCTAGTCTGCAGGGGTCTCAGAGGCTTCCGAGACCCGAACATACGAACGATATTGATAAACTTGTAACAGCAAAGAAAGTGATGCCGCTTGCACTCATAAAGACAGTGATAATAGTTGTAAGAATACAACTCATTTTACCTACTAATAGTAATCCAGATCATGTTGTGATAATACTAGTAGTATTAGTAGTAATAGCCATGATGGTTCCTAAAGGCCTGTGTCTGCCGCTAACGGTGGACTTCGTGGGCGAGCACGGCATCGATGCCGGGGGTCTACGACGGGCGCTTAGAGGGTTTCGGGCTTGAGGAGTTGAGGGTTTAGGGGTTGGGGGTGGCAAGGGTTCAGGGTTAAGGGGTTGAGGGTTTAAGGGTTCAGGGTCCTGAACCCTAACCCCTAAACCCCTAAACCCTCAACCCTGCCTCACCGGGTTGAGGGTTTAAGGGTTTCAGGGCTTTCACCCGTTACCCTGCCAAGGCCTCCTCGAAGTGCCCAAGTCTCTGCGCTTCACGGTTTCAGGTATCCCTGCCACCGACAAAGTTGAACCCGAGACCTTCAACCAAGGGTGGGGGCTTTTGAGTCGTGGGATAGAAAATGTCGGGGATGAGATGTTGTAGGATTGCTGTTTCATGATCCTTTTGCACGGGGCTGTGCTTCTTGTTGAAATCCGAGGAAAGGAATGTCTGCACTTGGTCTTGCGAGAGATGTACACCAAGACGCAGCAGCTCCGTTACAATCGCATGCCTGTTTTGTTGCCAGACTTTTCGGGCCTTCCTAGTGATGCGGAGTTACACGTCGTCCTGTTTGCCAGAGAGCCATTGTAACGCCAGTGTTCTGCCTGAATGTTGCAGTGTCAGCGGTAGCAGCAGCAACATTAATTTGCAGTGGTAGTGGACATGGTAGTCGTCGCTGCCGTTGTTTGTTGTGGCAGTACCTAAACTCACCCTTCTACCCTACCCATAGGCTCCATAGTAGTTCCTTTTTGGGAATACCTTATAGGACCATAGGATTCTAAACTCCAAAAATCAACCCCCGAAAGGAACTACTATGGAGCCTATGGGTATACTCACCCGAAACCCTTTAAGGATCTTCACTGAGCTGGACGAGTGGCCGGGTCTGCTCTGGTTCCGTCCACCCAGCGAGCATGATAAGGCCGGCGCGGAAGGGATGTCGCGGAGGATTTAGGGATGAGGGTCTGTGCATGTCTCCTTGACTATGGAAGTTCCGTTCCGGTTGGGGATCGAGGACCCCGCCTCGGAGCACCACATGCTGGCGCCTGGTACAGTCTATCACCCAAGCAGTGCTAGCGACAACAATGATGGCACGAATGCCAAGTAACGCCTGAAACTGAAAGAACCACAGTTCTCCGCTGAAGGTTTGGGGCTGTGTTGATCTCGTTGCTGGTCCATCCACGTTCAGGCTTGAGCGAAGAACATCAGTAATTCGGCAGAACATGTGGCTTGTTCCCTACAGAACGAAACCCGTCTGTGTTGTTGCTTACCAGCTGCTTATGTTTGTTCACCTTCTATGAAACCGTACCGGTGCTCCAAACCTTGCCTTAATGCCACTTACAAGGCCGCGGAAGAGCCCTCTCGGAATCAGGTGATTTCCGTCACCCCTCCGGAGCAGACAGCGCACGATGAGAGCCTCGGTTCGGAAGTTTCCAGCGTCGCTGCCTTTAGAATACTGAAGGTTTCAGGGGTTCGGGGGTGCGGCTCTTCTCTTTCATGTCGTCTTGTTCATCTTGAAGTCGGCAGTTGGAGTTAGGGGCGGCGTCCTTGCCCGTGGTTGTTAGATTGATTAGGTTCTGCAGTTCACGGACAAGCGCCAAGTAGCACCCGGAAGTCACACCTGCGCCCTTGCAGCACAAGATCCGTTTTCGGTCGAATCGGTTCGACCACCTGGAAATCCTGTACACGCAATTTCCGAAGCCCGAAGAAAACCCTAACCCTAACCCTTAAGGAGCCTTTAAGGAACTCCATAGATCCCTTAAGGCCTCATGGTCAGCACTAAAAGCTCAAGGGAACCCTTACTGTACTCGGAGCCCTTGAAGTAGCCCTTATCGTGACCCTCGTCTCTTCCGAAGCCGGAGCTCGTATGCGACAAATTAGACCTCTATCATAGACTTCTGTCATCACGAGGCCGCGGAACACTAAAGCCCTAAACCCTAAACCCCTAAACCCCTGAACCCTAAACCCCTCAAACCCTAAACCCCTAACTCTAAACCCCCTACGCATGGAGGACCTGGGTGGAGCATATGCCGGAGATCGCTGGAGCTATCGTGGGCTTGGCCGTACCTGGCCTGCACTCAGGTAACTGACAGGGTTCCTTTAATTGCTTCCTAAAAAGGGTCCTATTAGGGTTGCTATAAGGGGGTATTATGGGGGTGTAGTATAGGGGCCTGAATGAGGACCTATAGTATTTTGCGGGTTCCTCCTGGTCAGTATAGTATAATGGGCCCGATACCCTAGTCTAATTATTAAGGCCCCTATATTACACGCGTCGCTCGGCACTGCAAGCTAAGCGTTTCGCCCACTTGGGGACTAAAAGGCTTGGACGACATGGCCAAGGAAGGTACAGTAAGTAGCAAGAAACACATTTTTCCGGACAAGTCGTAGTGCCTAGGTTTTGAAACAAGTATTTGGGTTGAAAAGTTTCGCGGTTTTAAGAGTGTTGAATTTAGTAATGTATATCGGATATCGTTTTCAAGTCTTATAGGGTTTTATATGGTGCTGGAGGGTTTTATGCGGGTTTGGGGCTGGTAACTCATTGTCACAATACTCTTACCAAGAATGGCCATGCTCGCGGCAATGTATTCCCAGCGTCCCTCCAAATCGTGAGTGGTCACGCTCACAAAAATTGCGATTGCTACTGCCGCGACGACAGCGAGTTCCACAACATGCTTTCATGCTGGAGTGGTAGCAGCAACAAGGATCAGATTGGTTACGATAACATACGATAACAACAATACTTTGTAGATGCAGCAAGAGCAGCGATGATTTCTTGCACCCTCAGGGCTGTCTTCCCACGCAATGTGACCGTGTGTTTCCGGCAAAGCCGTCAAGGTTTACAACGCCATCTACTTGGACCTCAGGCCTTGGGTCTTGAGCTTCGTGCTCTGCAGCCTTAGTGAAGACACCGTGGTGTCAGGGATAGTCCGTCATGTTGAGGAGGGGGGCCCAAACTTGCAGGGAAAGAGTCGGGCTTAGCAGGCTGCATCCTCTCATGTACAAGTTCCTCATCCACGGTCTGGCGAACCATACCATCGAGGACAGCTATACAGCAGATCAGCGTCCCAAGAGTCACGGCATCTGCAAGCCCAGCCCGCTCTGATGGCCCGTGCAGGACCTGCAGGGTCTTCACCCATCTCTCTACAGGTCACTGACCAGTCTGCGCAGCACGCCTGCAAGCTCCGATTCAGCGACGCATCACAGAGACGCTGCTCGCATGCCGCCTCTGAAGTCGAGATGGAAACTAAGGCAAGCACGACATTCGGCCTCTAGGCTGCCGCGAGATGTTTCTAGGGACAGACAACGCAATCTCCGCACGCGGCATGCTGCGCTCTGAGATAAGGGAACTATGCTTGACGTGGTCGGTCCGCCTGCCTGGTGCCCACGAGGACGAGCAGCTGTGGCCCCGAGTGCAGTGTCCGATAATTGCGATTGCCTGCTTCGCAGAACTCACCCCGGAGTCCTGCCAAGCTTCACAAGAAGGGAACAGCTGAGAGTTGTGTTGTCACCAGAGATGGACCCGCAGCAGAGACATCTCCAACGCAGGACACAGCCTTGGGAGGCAGGCCCCGAAGTGCCGACGTGCAGCAAGATGAGCTCGAAGCATTCATTCGAGAGTGCCATGGCTGCATGCGTACTTGTTTGTATTCGTTCAAGGGTTCATGTACACCCAGATACACGTGTACATACACACATGCATCTCGATATGTTCTTTGTGTGTCTATGTGTACATATGTACTAGTGTATGCGTAGCCATGGAATGCTGACCTACAAATAGTTTTATAGTGAGGATGGCGGTGAGAATGATGGTGATAGTGATCGCCATCGTGGCCTAGAGCGTGGATATAGTTTTCCTCAACTGCAGCATGGTCCGCCAATGCCGGCATCCTTATTATCATCGCCATCATCCTCATCCTCACGATCATCATCCCCCATCATCACCATCATCACGATCAGTGCGTCATCACCATCGTCTCCTTCGTCTTCATTGCTGTTGACTTCGCTATCATCTTCAACCACCTCGTCAGCCCTTGAAAAGCGTCTCTTGACCGTTAAGTCGGCAGCAGTTATCGTGAGGTATGCGCAAGCTGCCCTCTATGCGGGCGACATGGAGCAGCTCCGAGGGTTTGTGCAAAAAGCCTCGGTTTGCACCTTAGCCTTAGCTCCAGTACGTTTTTGATGTTGGTCGCCACCGAACTAGCGAGACCTCGCCTTGCCCCCTGGACCCATGGCCCCAAGATCCTGCTCTCCTTGTCTTTGTCCCAAACTCAAAAAAACATAATCACGCAAGAGCAGTCAACCGCCAGAGCAGCAGCATTACCCACAATCGTGCGTATGGTTATAATTTAGCTTTAACGGCGTTAACAGTAGAAATGGTGGCCAATCGCAGTATAAATCTAGCATCGATTACACCAACAAAGAACAAGCATCACTAGTCCTGATAGTGCTTGCAGCTCTAGTACTCCCCGGTATAATTTGTGCAGATGGTTGAACGCAAGACCCAAGCCGCAAGCCCTCGAGCTACTATAGGGGCCTAAATAGTTACCTATACGATTTTTGGGGGTTCCTTAGTATAGTATAATGGGCCCCGAAACCCTATTCTAATTATTAAAGGTCCTTACAGTAGACCGTCAACCCCGAAAATCCCGAAATCCTCCAGGCATGGCCATCGGGCCAGCCTTCCGGCTCTGCACCGCCCATGACTTGGAGCTGCTGATCTGCGGGCTTCCGTATCTTGGGGACTTCAAGGCGCACCGCGATCATCATATTCATGTTCATATTCATCATCATCATCATCATCATCATCATCATCACCATCATCATCATCATGATCATGATCGCCATCAGCATCATCACCATCAACACCATCATCAACACCATCATCAACACCATCTCCAACATCATTTCGCAGTTAACAGTGACATCATCACCATCAGTCATCATCATCATGATCATCATGACCATGATCATCGTCGTCGTCACCACCATCACCGTCATCACCATCACCATCATCACCATCGTGACCATCACCATCATCATCACCTTCATCGTTATCATCTTGGTCATTCTCATTACTGCGGCTATCAAACCTGTTATCACCACCGTCTACATCGTAACTTCTATCATCTCATGTGCAGGTTTAGTTACTTCCAATCATCAATGAAAAAGACCCACGACGTTGACAGCAACTGCGCGCACTACCGAGCCCAACCCCGTAAGTGGTCCCGCCCGAATTGAAGTCATCAATAGCTGCTCCGAGAGGACCTTGAGCTGAGCTGCAAGTACGCAAATGGCAGCCTGGCAGCACAAGCTTTCTTCGGGTCGGGGATTTCGGATTTTTTGCAGACGATCGGCAGCTTGCGATTTTGAGGGCATTTAGGCCCGAAGGGTTTCTGTGTGGGGTGTCGTGTTCCCTGTTGTGTGCTGGGCCGATTGTTCCGGTACTTTTATCTCCTGCCGCGATCTGTTTCTTGCTCTGGAGGCCATCTTGCTGGTGCCTGTGGAACTCCAAAGGTAGCCCGTGTCGTTTGGGGATGGGGCGTCTGGTCAGCGAGAAGAGGCACAGAGCTTCTTCAAAGCGAGGGTTTAGAGGCATGCTTTGGGTTTGTGGATGTGAAGGTGTCAACATCTTGCTCTCGATTGTGATCTCGGTTTTTGCAGCTCTGTGCCGAGGCTTTCATCCAGATCATCCCGTGGCGAAGACGTACTTGGCTTGCATCTGGAAGACTGTTCCCCTGAAGGGTTGAAGGATTTGGTCTAATCTCGAAGTCGAGCTTCTCAACCCCAAACGCCTAAACCCCCTAAGCCCTAAACCCCTAAACCCCTAAATCCCTAAACCCCAAACCCTTAAAACCAAAACACTAGGTTCTGGCGGGTGGTGCACGGCATGTCCGAGATCTGGTGCCTGTCTCAGTCTGCGATGTGGGAGTTTCCGAAAATTAGGGGTCCGTACTTTGGGGGGTCCTTATGATAAGGATCCTACTACATAGGGTACTATAAATGGGTCCGCTGTTTCCGGAAACTCCCATGTATCAACCGACTCGAATAAGAGCCGGCGGGGTTGCGGATGGCGTTGAAGTGAAGGCGCCTCGAAACTATGTCTACACTTCTCATCTCATCCCTGAGTTGCTCGACATTTGAAAGAAGGAGTCCCAAGTCTATAGCTGCTCAGCCGGCTCAGCCACGAAGTCCTGAATACCACTCAAACTTCTGCGACTAGCCGCCGAAGCCAGACCCAACAAATTCGCAGCAGCGCGTCACTTTTTAGAGCCCCAGCGGGCTCATCACTCAACACGGCGCCCAAGTCACAGGCAGCGGAAGTTGCTGCTTTTCTGCACGGGCTGTGATCGAGTACCCATCTTGGGCCTGCGAGCTCTGAGACTCGGAGAAGAAACAGAAGGGTTTTTGGGTTCAGTGCTTTGGACTAACCGTTTTGTATAGGGGATTATGGGCGGTTTCAGAGGGTCTGCAAGGGATTTCGGGTTCAATCGATGATTATTTGCTGTAGGGCGGGTTTCTGAAAATTGGATTTGGTCAGCACAGAAGGTTTTACGGAGGGTTGGCTATCAGACTTTCTACTGAGAGTCATCGTTACTCGTAAATCGAAGAACCATACCTACGAGATCATCGAAACCGAGGCGATCCCAAAGTATCGACTGGCCTCACCCCGGCACTCTGGGCTGTAAGCCCTCATCAGTCAGCCCAGGGGTTCAGAGCTTGCTTCAGTGCCTGGCACCGTGGACTTCATGATAATGGTTATGTTTTTAACATGTTCTTTTTTTCCGGGCTCAGGCTCAGGGTCGTCAGGAACCGCTCGGTGGATGCCATCAGACATCTCGACAGAGTTTGTTCACTGTATTGATTGGCAGAGCTGAACCCCAAGACCCCAAACCGCAAAACCCTGAACACTAAACCCCGAGACGATAAACCCCTATAGTAGGCTTATAGTAACCCTCATAGATCCCTTACAGGAGCCCTTCATGGAGCCCTATAAGAGACCCCCTATGGTACTAACGAACAGAAGTCCCAGACCTCAGGAACTTCGTTCTGTCCCGGAGCGCTGTTGACCTGGACCATCTCCCGACGGCGCGGGGGGCGAAGTTTGTTTGACATACGTACTCTAGTGGCTCGAATGGCCTTCGTAGGCATGATTGAGAATGACAATAATAATACTACTAATGAGAAAGGTAATACTGCAGTGCTGGTATTGCTAGTATATCAGTGCGAATGCTACTATTGTGGTAGTCGTAGTTGTAGTCTGAAGCTTGCGCATAAGATGAATGCCTTCATTCATGGTTTTTGCTAGTGCTGTCTTTGGGCACAGTATCCGAATGATCAAGGGTTTTGACTGTTGTGGTCGTCGTCGGCGTCGCGGTCGTGGTTGTGGCTGTTGTTGTTGTTGCTGCTGCTGTTGTTGTTGTCGTCATTATCATTGTTGCCCTGCTTGCTGCAGTCGTTATGACTATGCACGGTGTCAGAGCACCACGGAGCACAGACCAGCAGCGGGCGACTTCGGTTGGACATTTGATGAGACAGACTGTACATAGCACACCATGGCTTCCACGGGCAATTGCAACATGCAAAGCTTCAGGCCAACACCTGCATCAATCAGCTGAACTTGCCGGAGTATCCGACGGAGGCGTGGGATTTCAGAAGCCACGGAAGTTAAACGTATGTCCCACCGCCCCAGGAAATGATGCATGCTCGTCTGCATGCGGCATTGGAGCACTACACGGGCTTCGGCTTCGCCTGAGAAGAGGGATGCTCTGGAACTCCTAGCAGGACCGAGTGCCCGAGTGCTGATGCGCAGCAAGCACGGCACTGTCTCTGGCTGCAAGTGATGCAGCCCGATGTCAAGTTCTTCTTCACGAGTCTCAGCCGGTGCATCTGCATCAACGCGGATGTAGCATGCAGCTTGCGGGCTGAGGCGCTGCACCCTCGAGAATACAAGCACGGCCGTGTAGCTGTCCAAGCTTGCAAAGATTTATCCTATGTCGGTGCACAGCAGTACGCTGAAAATGGTTGACCGGGCTAACGGCTACCGGCTTAAGACGACAACACCTCACAGGGGCAATTTGTCTGGTTCCAGTCGTGTGACCGGATTGAGTTCCAGCTTACTTAAGGTGAAGGTAAGGTGTTGTTCTGAAGCACAAACCGGACAAGAGAGGAACGATATGACTACGGTTGCTACTATTGCTTTAGCATGGGAGCCAGCTGTTCAAAAGCCCAGAGTTTCCATTCGCACCTTGTATGACATGAGGGTTTAAGGAGTTTAGGGTTACAGGGGTTACAAACCCTAAACCCTAAACCCCAGGCCCTAAGCTATGACGGTACCATCGGGGTTCTGCAGCGGTGAGAGTCTCATCCATGATGCCGCGGCCGCGAAGTTGTGAGGCTCCAGGGCCTGCATGGTAATATCAGGGGCCATAATAAATTACCTAGTATATTTTTGTAGTATATTGGGCACCAAAACCCATTCCGAAGGCCCCTGTTTTATGGAGGGGTGAAGAGTTAAAAAAAAGTACATCCTCCTGGTTCTTATGGTCCCTAAGTGTACTAACTATACTTTCCTCTACCCCGAAACTCCGTTCTAAATGCTACGGCCCCTACATTAGTCCGTGTGAGCTTTACTTTTTGTCCCGGGCCTGGGACATTGAGTCACCAAATGATGTGGTCAACCTGACCTAGTCAAGCGAGGCATCTATTGAAAGTTCCACCTCAAGGCGCGAACGGTGAAACGGAAGGTTCCGCATCAGAAGATCAGAGCATGCGCCATGGGCAAGCGGGATGTGCGATGCAGATCCGGCTGGCACTTGGTGAGGCGCCAGCTCAGGTATCACTATGCTCAGGTTCGCCTCGTAGCCACTTGAGTCGCTCCGATGGCCTCGACCAGGCATGACATCTAGCAGATGAGCAAGGACTCTCGCCGCTGTTGACGCACTGTGCAGCTCTAGCTACCAGCTATCGCACGCCGACGCCGACGGGCTATAGCCAGAAGCCCAAAACCCGAAACTCAGGAAAAGAGCCCAAAACCCGAAACTCAGGAAAAGAGGCCCCTAGAAAAAGAAAGAGACACCCCAAAAAAACCCAACCTTAGGCCCCCCTCCCAAATTAAAAAAAAAAAAGCCCTCGCCTCACCAGGTCCCAGAGTCCCAGGCCCTGGGATCCCTACTTGGAGGATCCACCGGGACTTAGTAAGCCCCTTTAAAGGGGTACTATAGGGTTCTATAAATAGGGTTCCTTAAAGGGATCTATAAGGAGTCTATAATGGGAGGATCATGGGACTTAGTAGGCTTATAAGTACCTTAATTGGGGATACAAGTAGTTATAAGTATAGTTACCGTAAATATAGCACTAGTTATTAAGTCCCATGATCCTTTAAGTAAGCCCAGAAGCCCAAACCACACGGAGCAGACGGGATCTGCAAGGAGTGGCCGCTGCGCTGCCCGTTGCCCCTCGAGGCCTCCGGGAGATCTGGGAGGTTCCGAAAATAGGGGTACCTTATTTTGGGGGTCCTTATAGTAAGGATCCTACTATTCAGGGTACTTTATTAGGTTCCGCTATTTTCGGAAACTCCCATCTGCTGTGGATATCGGTAAGCTTTGCCGGGCTCTTGTCAAGGAAGTTTAAAATTTAAGGTGCCAAAATAGTGCTCTTTTACAGCCACTGTTTTAAGTTACCAGAATAGGGATCTACAACAGCCACTATTTAAGTTACCAGAATAAATAGGGATCTGCAACAAGCACTATGGTTTCCTGGTTATGGTCCTGGTAGCATAATACAAGAACCCAGTTTTGGTTGTATGTTCAGAGTTCAGGGCCTCGCCTTGTTATACGTGGTGTTGTCGGATACGTCGTCTGACATACGATGGTTTCAAGCTACAGGAAATTTCAATCCAAAAGGTATTGCGTTGCGGGATGTAATCTGCTTGTTCATGGTACACTGCTCACACCATTCACATCGTAGTATCAAGCCAGTGTCCGATATGCTTTTCGTTTCAACTCGTTACCGATTGCCGACATTGATCATGTATGCAGGCCATCCAGCAGCTCCTCATCCAATACCTCGCATCTGGAAAAGGCTGGGGAAGCGGAACCGTAAGCATAATGTCCGTAGTATGCAGACTGCTGTCCACAGTAGAGCCGACGCATGACACGATCCTCAATTTTCCACTTGTACTAACAGCACGAGCCTGGTTTGAGTAGTGATCTTGGTGTCCTTGTAGTACCCATAACATGGCCTTAGTAGTATGATGACCTTAGTACAGGAAGTACTCAGAAAGGAGCCCTAATAGTAATTCTTGGGGGTTTGGACTTCTGGGCCTGCCTGGAACAAGTGCAGGCTACGATGATGCCAGCGTGGCTGCCGCCACGCGAGAGGGGAACCACTGCTTTCAGCAGAAAGACTTTAGTCCAAATCTCAGTTTCCTTGTGGAGCTCCGAAAGCCCTCGAGCCTAAACAACCTTTCACACGAGCTGCCTGACGTCTTCGGCTTGCTTTTTTCGAGGTCGGGCACTTGATATGTTTGGCATCGCCTATGAAATTGGCCCGCATCCCGATCTGCCTGCACGGTCCTTCTTGACAGTTTGATGGCTGGTTGTGCTGTTGAGACAAGAATGGTAGTGATGACGATGGTGGTGATGTCGTTATTGCAATCAGCAGTACGGCGTCTGTTGGTGTGATTTGCAGGTCATTCCATTATTGCTTTCCAAGGAAGCGTCTCTGTGGATTCATGTGCCGAGCATCGTAATTTCATTGCCATCGATGCGCATGCAGTAGCCTGCGTACCTCTGCCACGGTACAGCAGACGTCGTAGATGAGACACATAGTGTATGCGGAAGCATTAGAGCTTTTTCAACCCTTAATGCTGTCTAGCTGCTGTTATTGCAATCAACATTTCTATGGGCAGCTTTAGTCCTGTCATGCTGCATCCTTAGCTTCATGGCCTTGAGAACTTGAGGCCGGCTACACTACGCCTACCGACCCCTGCTACATGACACCCGGGGGCAGTGGAATTTGATTTCTGGGAGCTCAAGGTCATAATTCAAGATTCTAGGTTACGCTTCTAACTGTGTGCTCTGAAAAACACGGATCTCCATGTCGTCCGTGGTTTGAAACAGCTGTCACCAGAATGCAGTCTTCTACAAACCTCGTGTAGCCAGGTTGAGGCTGAAGCGAGAGGTTGAAGCAACATCAACAATCTCAAGCCAGCATAAGGCCATGTGCAAGATAGAGCAGCATGTATGGACATGCGCAAATAAGGTATTTACGCAAGTGATGCAATGACCTAATCATCTGTCTGTACCTGCATCTACAGACACGATCATAAAATACGTCAAGCACATGTGCCACTTAGCAGGCAGTCCTGAAACACCACAGAGCGACCTAAACCCGCCAGAGGCAACATGAAACTATACCAGGTGTCGAAAGCACTGTAGAACAGTTATGATCGGGCCAGACGTATTTGAAGAGGATGGTGCTGCAAGTCGTCTCCTATCTGGTTTTGCACCATGCTGCCAGCAAGCCTGCTTTTGCTTTGCAACTCGCCTTGCTGTGTGCTGTGCTTGGCGGTTCATGGGTACTTATAGTGGAGTTACAAGTCCCCTAATATGGGTCATAATATAGTTCCCCTACTTATAACCCCACTTAGAACTACCCATGAACCTCCAAGTGGAGGACATCCTTTTGCGGCGGATCCTTTGCCAGTCGCTCCTGGGCAGGTTTGAGCAAGCCCTCCAGGCAGCGTGGTTCACTGGTTTGGGGCTAACGGTTCCGGGTTCCGGACACCGGTGCACATGTGCGGGTCGTGTGCGAGTCTGTAAGTATAGTATATATTGTAATTATGTGTTATGTATATGCATGTATCCATTATGAATTAAATTCAGCCGGAACTGCCAGACTGCAACTGCTGGTATCGCGTGGGCTTCAGAACTGGCTTTGCAGAAGAGCACGAGTGATCGTCATTTTTCGCTAACAGGCAGTGACAATAAAAGTAGCAGTAGCAGCAGCAGCAGTTGTAGTTGTGGTGGAGGTGGTTGTGATGGTGGTGGTGGTGGTGGTGGTGGTGGCGGCGGCGGCGGCGGCGGCGGCGGCGGTGGTGGTGGGAGCAACAATGACAGTGGAGTGGCGGCAGTGGTAGTGGCAGTGGTAAAGTGGTCGTAAGGCTTAAGACTGTTCGATCGAATCAGCAAGCGGTAAAGCACACTACGAGCGCAGCCAGGCAATAGAGGATGCGAGGCATCAGAGGAAGTAGAGTAACATGAGCACCAAAACTTAGACGGAGCATCAGCATCAAAAGCAGTTGCTACACAGGAAGTGCACAGGTACAACACGTAGCAACAAACACACACCATCTGCAAAGATGCCCCTGTGAGCACAGTCACATTCATGAGATGCTCCTGGTTTCAGTGATGGCAACGAACGTGGGTTCGTGTCGTGTTAGATGCTGCTGCCGATTTTCGTTGCCATGGCAGCTCACAGGGTTTCTCCCAGCATCCATACGCAATGAAAGTGGATGGTCATCATGCTGACCACTTCCAAGCACTACGGCAAGTTGCGATCCTTTGAGACTTTCGGCAGCTCTGCCACAGACCAGCCAGAGCGCAAGGAAAGCATAAGGACAGGAGGGATGGTGGCAATGCTAACACAGAAGAGCAGTCATCGTACGTAGTGGTATCGGAAGGCCAAGAAGGATAGCAAGAGAACCAGCTGCTTGCCACCTTGGGTGTAGTGGACATTTCAACCCGAGATAGCATGCATGAGCCTTAAGACCCAAGCCCGAACTCCTAAACCCAAACCTCTAAGCCCCTAGACTCCGAGACCCTGGAAGATGCAACAAGGAATCTTGAAGTGCAAGGGCTATTCAGTGCGGTTTAACGAACGGAATGCGAGCGAAATGGTAGCACCAGTTCCTGCAACGAAAGCATGTGGAGACGCCCCTGAAGCTTGCTAGTGGCAGTAACTGTTGTGCTCATCCTCGCAGTAGCAATAGTCGTGATACTGGCAATCTTGTCATAGCCACAACAAGCAGCAGAGACATCGTGGTGGCAGTCAGAACAGCAGTGTATGTTTGTAGGGCTAACCAGCATGTGCGTCCTGCGTGGAAACAACAACTCAATATGATTGAACTCAGCATCATCTATGAAACCAAGCAGCAAGCAGCACAGTGATACTGGATCCTGAAGATGGGTGGCAAGGAACAGCCACACGACTACTTAGCAGTCTGCTCTGGAGGAGTGTCACACAGCGGCCTGGCTCATTCCCAATGAGGCGAGGGAGTCGGGAAGCTCGTTCAACCTTCGGGGCCTTGGGTTAAGAGCGTCGTTTTAAGGCGACTCGCAGCTTGATCATTGAGCCACCATAGGTCGGAATCACTCCTACTACTACTACTACCAATTTCAATTGAACGCTGTGCGAGCGGGCTCTGCACATAGCGGGCGATTGCCGCGGTGCACTCACTTTGGTGTGAAACTGACTCAGACCCTATAGCTGATCCGCCCAGGTCAAAAGACCTTTGAGTGGTTGCGGCCTACAGGCTTTGAGCTAACTGGCAGTGATCAGCCAAAGCGAGTTTGCAGGCTGCAGGGTATCAAGCTCCAGATTGTTGTATGTACCTGAACATTGAAACGGAATTCGCGTTGTGTATGCTGTCAGCAGAGCAGCAGTAGCGCGACTGGCAGCAGGCTAGGGCATGATTTCCGACTGACAGCGGCGGCATCCGGCAGAAGGGCCATCAGTCTGTCTCGGAAGAGACGCAAGTGAGAACAGGCATGGCCTCCGCGACTTACTGCTTAGTCTGCCAGTGGCACCATTGGTTGCAGCGTTGGAGAGGGCATGCAGGGCGCTGCCTTGCCGCTGCTTGCCGCCTCCGGATGTCTGGCGTCGAGTGTCGACCCCAAGCGGCTCAGATGGCTCTCCCATTAGTGAATCTGGAGCCAGGGGAGAGGCGGTTCGACCACTTTTGTGGTCCGGGCTGTGGATCGTGTCAGCCATGCTGGGTCAGCCTGAAAAGCTGCGGGTAAGCCTGCGCATGCCTAAAGCATGCTTGGCCTTGACGTGGGGGGGGCCATGCCCACCTATTGTGGGGTCCGGCCTTCCCACGCACAGGCACCCTATTGGTGCACGCATTCCTAGGTTTGGAGGGCCAGCACTCACCCCTTGAGGGTGAGTCAGAGTCACTCCTGTCTTCTCAAGAAAAGGAGGTAGCAGTCTTCCATAACATGTTTGCGATCTGAGGCCGAGGCTGGGTATGGGCGGGTGGCATCATCCCCCACATACAGCGCGCCTCCATTTGGGTGAATCCAGAAGGACCGGTAGTGGCCGGAGTGTATGTCAGCACCTATGTGAAAAACTCCCGAAATGACTGCATATTGATGCCATTGCCGGCCCTGACCCTCAATCCAAGACGGCATTGAGAGGTGCCTGCGCAGGTCCAGCGGGGTGCGTCGTTTTGTGCCGTCCATCCATCGAGCGATTGTGACTGGCAGGATGTCAGGGGCCCATGCCAGGGCGCGCTGGAACGTGTGGTCATACCATGCCGTGCAGGCCTGCTGCAGTGTACGACAGGCTGAGGAAAGGGGCAGCAGCAACGGCGTGAGGCCGTCATCCTCACTTTCCGGCACTCCATTAGTGCGTCCTTCCCAGCGAGCGGGTTGCAGAGTCCCCGTGTTGTGCTCTAGCATGTATGTGACAAATTCGGAGGCGTCTTGTTGACGGCCATCGAATCGCCATCTAGGCACTAAGGACCGGAGAGCGAATAGGCTTGGAGGGTTTATGTGCCTCGTATCCATTGGATCCGCTTCCGGGTTGATGCAGTGTTGGACCAGTGGTCCCAGTTCCGCTACATTGGACGCAGAGTCTAGCGCGGCTAGTAGGGCCTGAATGGTCGCATTGACATAGCAGGTGTTACCCGAGTTCACCATGTGTCGCATACGAGAATACAGGCCTGGCGGGAGAGTGCTGCCGACGGCGCCCGTCGTTGCCATGGCAACAGTGGGTGATGCAGCCGCGGTAGCTGGCTTGTCTGCAGCCCCAAAAAAGCCACTAAGTGACATTGTCACCGCGGTCTTGGGATGAGGCTTGGAACATTGTTCCCGCATCTTGTCCGTGCCTTGCACCTTGTGCCACCCAAGCAGAACCTGAAACAGGACAATGCATTGCTCAGGGTGTTTGCGTTTGTCATAGACCGGCAGCCTGCAAAAGGGGCAGGGGTGCCCCTTTATCATCTGCACAGAATAGGCCTTGCAAAGCTGAAGTGCTGCCGGACCATCTCGCTGCCATGCTTGTGCATGGGCCTGTCGTTGATGATTCTTCATCTTGGTATGGTCCGGGGTCCAAAAACCGCACAAAATGCACCGATGCTTAAGCTCCTGAGCCTCTGGCCGGGTGGCAATGGCACTGAGTTTGTTGCTGGGCGAACTCTGCACCTTGGCGCGAAAGGCCGCCAGGCCCTGGAGGGCCTGACCCTGCATCTGTTCCTCAGTGGTGAGAGAGATCTGACGCAGTCGTTCCGGCTGCGTGCAGGCCCCCGATAAGAGATGGTCACGTAGGCCTTTCCATTGATGGAAAGCCTTGTCGCATGCAGAACATACAGGTAGACCATCCTTGGAGTGCCGACTGCGATCAAAGGAGGGGGGAATGTACCTTTGCACGTGCTCGCGATGCATTCGCGTGACGTGCATGTGTAAGCCATGTGCAGAGACAAAACCCGACTCGCAGTGAGGGCAGGCGTGTAGCCGCTGCTGTGAGGCCTCGGTGCTCGCCGGGAGGTTTTCCACCTCTCTCAGCATGTCCTGTAGGTCCTGTACGACGTGGCTCAGTTGCGTGACGTCACCGTATGTATGTGGTTCAGACGGCTGCTGGTGTGTTGCTAGGCCCGTCGCTGGTGGACTCAGCCTGGCCCATGGGCCCCGCGTCGCTGAGGGTTCACTGGGAGTGTGTGCAGGCAGGGCTGTAGTGGTGGCTTCGGAGGGGGCTGTTCTCTTGCACAACCGCTTGAGTCTAGAAGCCATCCTTGTTTGGATTTTGGCTACCGGGTCTTGGATTGAATATAGTCGGTACAGGTCAGCTGTAGGTGTGTGGCCGACGTGTGCAGGCTGATTGAGGACCGAGCGTATCTTGTGTGCATACCAGCCTCTAAGATGCCTGGCCGTCTCCTCCGTGAGGCCGACTTCGGGGAGTCCCGTGACCAAGGTGGCCCAAACGGTGGTGAACCAGACCTTTAGCCTGGCCATTGGCCCCGCGGTGCGGCGATTGTAGACGAATCGCTTGACCTGCTGGAGCTTTTTGGCAGCCTCCGCTATGCGGAATCGCAGCGTCTGCATTTCAAAGTTCCCATAGGAAATTTGGATGCCCAGGTACTTGATTTGCGCCTCAAGTTTGTATGCAGGGAAGGATCTGTGCTTGCCCAGTCGCCAATGCCGCTGTAGTGTGCCCGTCGAGTCGGGCAGCCAGCAGGTGTGCTTCTGAAGCACGGCTTCCGCCTCTCTGCCGTTAAGCTTGACTAGCATGGCACATTTGGCCGGGTTGACGCGTAATCCCAGTTTCGTCACCTCCGACAGAAGCTGTAGGATCATCTTGTGAGCAGCGTCCACGTCTGCTTGGCTGCGGATGGTGCGATGCATGGTGAAGTCGTCCGCGTAACCTGTAAAGTATCTGCGGACATTGTCCCAGCCAAATGCGTCTATCAGTCTATGAAGGAGGCGGCCTGTGAGCACGGAAAACAGCGTGGGGGCCAACTTGCAGCCTTGTTTGATGCCAGTGGTAGTTTCCACGTCCTTGTAGGCCCCCTGAGAATGAAGTCTGTATTTAGATCGATGATGAAGGCCGTGTATGAGTTTCTTAAGCGGGGGATCCGCGCCCAGCTCATCTAGCAGGGACAAGATCTCACTTCGGGACACAGTGTCGAATGCCTGTGACAGGTCTAGTGCGAAAGTGATGCCGCCGACGAGACCTACAGGACATTGTCCCCGCTGCTGATCCGCTCGGGTGAGATTCGCATTGCGACAGAGCTGCCTTGCTTCCCTTAAATGCTGAACCACTCTGCTCTGTGCATCCGAAAGACCTCTCCCAGGGAGGTATGCAAACTGGGGTAGAGGCTTCATGTATGGCAGCGTGAAAGGCTCCAGGAGCTCCTTGGCCGCGCCCGCCAGTCCTTTAGCATCCGGGCGAAGAATGCCCAGCGGCCTGAGTTGTGAAGGCTTGTCAGCCGGCTTGCCCGGTTTTGGGATTAAGCAGAGATCTGCGCGAGTCAGATCGTCGTCCAGTGACTGGTCCTGCGTCAGGCTTGAACAGTATTGTGAAAGCGCCGCAGAGATCGGCTGAGCACAGAGCTTCCAGGCTGCGGCCGGTGCCGCTCCTTTCGGAACTGCCTTGCTAGGCTTGATCGAGGCAATATGTTTTGCTAACTTGGTCTGTGGCAATAGGGGCAGGAGTCCCGAATCAGACGGGAGCTGTGGGTGCGCCGCAAAGACCTTAGTTGCATACTTCCCCAGTTCATCCAGTTCGTTTGCAGGACTGAGCAGGAAGCCGTGCGCGTCCTTAAGCTGAGCTTTCAAAGCCGGTTTCCACGGCCGGAGGTGCTTAAGAGTCTGATATGCCAGGTGCTGATCGCCCTGGCTCAGAGCCTGATCAACCTCAGCAAGAAACCGTTTGGTCTGGTCCTTGCGAGCCTGCTTAACCGCCTGTTTATGCTGATCACACAGCCTCTGCCGGGCTTCATCCTCCGGCGATGGCTCCGCACTGGGGTGAGCATTGCTCCCACGTGCCGAGCGCCACATGCGTCTGGCAAGGCTCGTCTCCGGACTATCTGGCATTGCCACTGGGGTCTTAGGGAAAAACCTGGATGCGGCTTCGCCAAGGAGGCGATCCCATGACGCCGGCTGCATGTCCGGAGTGAGTCGTGCTGTAACCCACTCGAGCATGTGCTGAGCTGGCAGCGTGTTGTCCCTGACAGCCGCTTGCAGAGCAGCGGTGTCATAATGATGCTGCTGTATCTGAGGGGCTGGCAGGTTCCAGTGCCGAACTGGTTTGACAGCTGCACTGATGGGTAAGTGCCCGCCTTTCTTCCAGCTTCCAAGCGGGAAAGCTGCCAGCGGCGTAGAGTTTTTGGCAGCTCCTCCAGCAGAGACCTCCCTCGTAAGCACAAAGTCAATTTGAGTGCGCGTATCCCCTTGCTGAAACGTATGTGGCGGCTGAGGCCTCCACGTGTTGAGGGCAACCAAGCGATGATTAAGCAGAAAGTTGGTAAGCTCTGGCTCATCAGATCTCGGTTCCTGTGGGCTAATGATCTCTGGACCAACCAGCCTAGGCTGCTTTTGCAAGGAACTATTGAAATCTCCTGCCAGGATAAGCGTGTCCCTGTGCGGCACGCGTTGCACGCATCTGCTAAGAGCCTTCAGGACATGTGCTCTGTCCTGACGATTGGTCTGTACCTGCTTGGCCGGTGACCAGACGTGTTGATACACAGCAACCAGGTTGATGCGGGCCCCGTGCCAGTCAAACCTGACCTCCAGGGCTCTGCCTATGACATGTTCCTGCCAGCGCACACTTTTGGGCAGTATGTGTGGGGACAGGAAAACCATAACCCCGTCCGCGCGAGTTGTTGAGGGCTCCTTGCGGGGTGGGGTCATCTTATCGTCATTAGGCATTGCCTCTGCAGGTGACTGTTTATGGGCCTTGCCCCCGCGTTGCTTTCGTCTAGAGGCCTTCGGATCTGCAGCAGAAGCAGACGAGATGCAGTACCAGCCTGCAACACTAAATTCGGCCGTAGCCTGCCAGTGGGTCTCCTGCAGGACGAACACATCACAGGTGTGGTGTGCCTCAGTGGAGAGCCATGATTTGACTTCCGACCATTGTTGCTGGCCAAGATGGCCTGCATTCCAGGACAGTACTCGGAGAGGCCTGGTGGCCTGTCCTGCCCGAGATCGTGGTGCAAAAGACTGCTTGGAGCCCGGCTGCGGTGGGCAGTTGCCCATGCGCCTGAGAAGAGCTGGGGTCAGAACCTGACCTCGGTAAGAAACAGGCTGCTGGCTTGCAGCCACCTGTCGGCAAACATGCTTGAAAGAATTCTTCCTGATCTGAGAATAATTTTGTGAGTGCACTGGGAGCAGCGCCATCCGCTATTTCGTCACAAGGCAAGCCGAGTGACTCCCTCCACCACGCGGCTAGTGGAAACCCTACCGCCTGCCCCGTGGGCCCGTGTTGAGACAGGGTACTGGGTCCAGGAATTGGGACCTGGCGGCTCAGACGCAAACTGTTGGCACATGGCACATGGCTCAGCGTGAGGAACCAACCCTTAGTCGTTCGGAGAGAGGCCTGTTTGAGACCTCTAGCAACGCAAGGTTGGAATCCAGAGCCTGTTCGAAAGCCAGCGCGAAACTTCCAAAACGTCTGAGCCGTGGCGGCTACTACTACTACCACTACTACTACTACTACTACTACTACTACTACTACTACTACTACTACTACTACTACTCCATAGAGCTCCGTCATATAATGATATTTTTGTTATGTACCCAAAAGCCCTATTCTAACTGTTACGGCCACTGTATTACATACCTACTGCTTGTTTCAGAAATCTCATTCTGCGAAGAAGGCTTGAAGCACTTCTGTGCATCTGGGCGGGGCAGTGTCTGCAGCGCTTACACATCCCAGCTTTCCCTAAACCCTAAACCCCAAACCTTTCCCGATCTAAAACGAGCTTTGAGTGGTTAGATGGTGCAGAAAGGGCTCGCCGACCCCTTGAATGATCCAACAAAGTCTACTATAGGGGCCTAAATAATTAGAACAGGGTTCCTTTTAAGGGTTCCTAAAAAGGGTCCTATTAGGGTTACTATAAGGGGGTATTATGGGGATGTAGGAATGAGGCTTCGACTTACTCCCATGGTGCAGATCAAATTTTAGTGACCAATGGTTCGCTCTGTACCCTTCAATCACATCCACAGCTCGGAAGGCAACTTGCAACCTGCTTTATGGGGTGATATACTCCAAGCTTGGCAGCTTGGACAGCCGGGAGAGTTTCAGGAGTTGGGGCTCACAGGTGTGCGGGGGGTTTGGTTCGAGCCCTGGCTTTCGGATGCTTCTCTGCCCATCCATTTCGCTGTTCTTGGCTCTAACTGTTTCTACTATCTGTCTGTTGTCAAAATTCCAGGCTCCTTTCAAGGTAACTTGCTTTGCTACCATGAGGGCATGTACACGTGACCCTTGGCTACAAGATGCTTTGCACGTACTGCTTCCGCAACACAGAGCCATCGGAGCACCACAGGGAAGGCTGCGGGCAAACGCTGATTCGGCTCTTCGCGGTACTATAGGGGATTACCAATACTACTTAGAGGGTTCCTTATTAAAAGTATAGTACAAAGGGCTAAAAAACCTTATTCTAATTATTAA